TGGTATTGACCCTGTTCATGTAGATGATAATGTGCCACCTGCAAGAGGTTAAACTTTCTCTTTAGTGCCCTGGAAAAATAGGCTTTTTGTTACTGGTATCGGGAATTATGCATCAGTCAATTCCGGGCGTGGGGACTCTTGAGCTGTCAAATCCCCCGGGGTGGGGAGAAAAAAAGAGGGCAAATGCCCACTCCGCTGTCAACACTGCAACATTTTTCATTGATCGCATGGTCGAATAATCTTGTTTTAAGCATTTTAATGTGTGATTTTTCGTTTCAATTAACGTCTTCCTTTGTAATAGCGCTAGGATTCTAATGAAGACTTCACTCCACGATGACATGCACCAGTTTAGGGTTTCAGTATTAATATAAAATTATTGACATTAAAATTAATAGAACGCTGTAACGTTATATGTTACGAATAGTAATATGAAAGGATGTTCTTGAAGTAATATCAACAGAAATTTGATTCAATAACCAAAACACATTGATTCACATCGATAGCTCCGGTTTTCTATGTAATTCTGGCTTGATATGCAATGAAGAAATGCATGCATAAAATCGAGAACATAACTTTACAACCCTCTTCATTTTATTCCTGGGGGGTGGGGGCTTGGCTCAGCTGGAATTGACTGATGCATTACAGACAGCCTCTGTTTGCATTAAACCCTTGGTCCACAGTCTTATTGTGCAGGGAACATAATATCCTGACTATATTACTATGAAACGCAACTGTATACATGTACATTTGTGGTTATATATTATTCATTTACTACGTGTAGTTTTCTTACTGCAAAAAGGTTTTTCCTCCCCCTGATTGCCTGGGGAATAGCCTCTGTCAAATTTTGCTTAAAAGCACTTTGTTTTGTTTTTCATCCAACAGTCAGATCACCTTGGTATGCAATTTTGGTGCAGAAGGTTCTCTCAAAGCAAGCAAGATCATGGAACTTAATTGGCCTCACAAAACAGAGCTTGGCCAATATCCAGCCGTCGAGCACTAAGTAATGACTTGAGAATAGAAGTGACTTAAAACACCAGTATCCTCGTGACATACACAGCGTGCAAAGAAAGCAGTGTCCAATAGCCCAGGGCTAGTGGATTTTGCTATAGGGCTAGTGAATTCTGTTCTTAACTTGCCAGATGGGCAAGTGATGTTTTTGAGAAATTTGAATAACAGAAGAACTGTGAAATAAGTTCTGCTCATCAAGCAGATGGCAAGCTGTAAAAATGATTTTCTTTGTACTCTGCATACATGTAGTCCCTTAAAACAATTTGAAAAACTGTCAAGGTCTTGAAATAATAATTATTACCTTCATCAATGTTTGATAGTAAAACAGAGTTTATGTTCAAGTTTATAAGATTCATTTAAAAGTATCCGTTGATTTTGTGAGAGGTGTAAAAAAAGGTATACATGAAACACATAAAAAATTTTAGCAGACTTGAATTTTGTAACACTGAAGCCATACTTTTTGGTTGGTGTATTTTTGCATTTGAATCTTTGCACTGGTCATAGAGAATTGTAAGTAGTTTAGAACACCATGTCAGAAGATTAAGAATATTTCCTGACACAATATAATAATTTTATTGTTATCCTGAATGGTTTAAGGCTAGGATTCATTTGAAATAAGAAAGTGGAAAATGATCAAACAGGAACTGATGATTTGACAATGACCATGAAATTGATGATCACGTTGTTGATAAAACGTCAGTCGCTGTCAACAACAGTCCTACTCAGGACATTCACCAGACAAATCATATTCCACTTTGCTGAAATATTATAGGCTGTAAAACTATCACTAGCCATAAGCTGCACTTGAATTCAAGACTACATTAGTGTCTGTTAAATTTGTTAGTATGTTGAAAAAAGGCTAGGTTTTCAATTTGTGAAGTATACAATTAATTTACCTCAAAAAACAGTACTTGTATTATGTCAAAGTTTAGCCATTCATTTTTTGTTGATCTAATTTGTGCATTTGAATCTTTGCACTTATTTTATACCCTCTAAGCACGCTACAACTGTGTTCACTTTGCAACTTCTGCGTATGAGATAGGACCATAAATAAGCATTGTTTGATACGAGTCTATGTGCAGGAAATGAATAAAATTTTAAATGCAACACAGATGGATTTCAGGTTTATGGTGGTATATATTTGTCTGACTTATATAATAGGTTAATTTCATGTAAGAATAAAGAAAAATTGCCATTGGAAAACCTGGTTTCGGCAAATATGAAACTTTTTGGACGTATTTACGTAGTAACGGAAACAGACGGAAACACAGAAAAACAAGTCAGGTTGCCGGACCGTATCTTCACGTTTCCGCCAGTAGAACGAACGAAATAACAGGTTTCCGGTACGGAATATCGCGTTTCCGCAACATAGGCACACGTTAACGATTGCGGAAATACGTGATTCCTGAAACGGAAATCTGTCGGAAACATGTAAAAAAGTGTTCCGGTTCCGTTGAAAACGCAGCGACGGAAACATGAGAAACCGTAATGTATCCGCTAACGGAAACACGCGTTTGCCGCTGTGTTTCCGCAACGGAGTCACGTGTTTCCACCATGTTTAAGTTTACGGATACTTGATTTTTCGTCCTGTGCACCCTGTCGGGCTTTTGATCGTGCGAAGCAACCCCGGGGTCGGGACATTTGACTTTGACCGACAGAAGCCTGGTATCAATTCAGAAGGGGTTACCAAGTCCGTCCCTCGAGGTTTTCTGAAAGTCACGCTGTTGGAGAAAGGTGTGAAGTTTTCATTTGTTTTAATCGCCATAATCCGATACTTTAAACTGTCATCTAAACAGTAATGTCTATTTTGAGAAAGTTTTTATCTTCAAGTTCCCATCTGATTGTAAAACTCGATTGAAATCGAATTCCACCATGAAGGTCAGAGGATTTTATATGGGTCACTGATCCGACCTGTTCCGACATGTTGAGCAGATGTTATGAAGCATTTTACGTTTCATTAATATTATAATAGCACGGTCAATCTTCCTAGAGTGATTTTGTTGTTCAAAATAAGAGATGCTAGTGGAGAGAGAAAATACTTAATTACAGCGAGTTATTTAACGGAGCTTACGTTTAGTAAGGACGTACTTTTGAAATGTTCTTTTAATTCGTTTTATACAGTATTATAGCCTGCGAACGGCAGACGTTTCTCCTCGCTCATCGCCGCTGAGGGACGTTTCACGAGGAGGAACGTCTGCGACTCAACGACAGAAATTCCATACTGATGACGCAAAATCTGTCCGGAATCCGGTCAGAAGCGCTAATTGGTCGACGGAGCAGTTTCATTTGTTTACGAAAGACAGACAAAAGGCCGCAAAGGTCAAATATAAACGCGATGAATCCCTAACAAAACAGCCAATATTTGTGGAATATAGTCTTCTCTCGAAGAAGCATTTGAGTTTTGCTGGAGCTCATTCGAGGATGAACACAACACTTTACCAAAATCGACCAGGAGAAACGTGAAATTAAACGAAATTGCATTTGGAACCCCATGACTACCGAATTTATTATGTAAACATTGATTTACGTCATCAGTATGGAATTTCTGTCGCTGAGTCGCAGACGTTCCTCCTCGCGAAACGTCCCTCAGCGGCGATGAGCGAGGAGAAACGTCTGCCGTTCGCAGGCTAACAGTATTATAGTATTGTTTGTTTAGATTTTTTCCCTGGGGTGGGGGCTTTTTTGACACTTTTGATTGACCTTTCGTTTCCCACCCTGGGGAATTTGATCAAAAAATTTTAAAATTTGTCAAATCCTCACCCTTTGCCCGCACTCCCCCACGGGGTTTATATTGATAGGTGCATTAGGTTTTGATAGATTTTGCTACCATAATTTCACCATTTGGCATTATTCGTCGCTACGAGGAATTCGCTACGAGCATTATCTGTTTTCTGAGAAAATCACTGATAGCATAATTTTTCACTTGTGGCTAGTTTTGCAGCACAAAATTGATCATGCAACCAATTTTTATGGCCCAGGATCAGTGTTAGCAGGCAAATTTTAGTAAAAAAAAACGATTTTTTGTCTGCTTATTAACACACTGATGGGACCTGGGTCCCATAGGAAGTGGCCAAGGACTGTTGCGTGCGCATCAAACTTGCTTGGTCACCCAAGATGGCGTCTTCGACAGCCAGTGCATACAGTGATAATTGCCAGTATAGCTTTGATGAATTCTGTACTGTAGTAAAGTTTCTACTTGTAAATAGGGTAAATGAGTTTGCCAAGTACTTGTCTTTTGCATAGTATTAAATTTGGGTGTTTTTACCAGATTTAAGTGAATTAAATAGAAGTATAATTTCAGCATTTTTTGATTTTTTTTGCTAAAATGAGCATACCGTAATTCTGGAAATAAGCCTCTCGGCTTATATTTTGCAAAGGCCCTCTTTGAGAGACTTAATGGTTCAAAAATCGGCATGGCTTATACTGGGAGGGAAATGTACGTCTCAAAATCGATTGGGCTAGCTTATATTCTAAATTTAGGATAGTAATTTGAATAAGGTTTTTGCTGAAACTCACCTTGAAGACGAAGAACTTACTAAAACTCAGCCAGGCAAGTACTTTGTCTATAAGAAACAAGGAAATCCAAGCCAAGAGTTAAGAGTGAATGCAAACAGCAATGTACTGTGACACTTTTTGGCTGCAATCATTTGGCACACGTAATAAAGTTCTTTGGCAAATGCAAAAATTTATGTGTTAAGGTACAGTTTTTGTCTTGTTTTATTGTGAATTTGAGGGCATTTTCCAAGTACAAGCCCCCGGGGGCATATATTTGCATGGGCGATTTAACGGAAGGTTTTTTGCGTTACGAGTTTGGGGGGCAGGGCTTATATTTGGAGGGGCTTATATTATCGGGATTTTAAGGTAATTTACAAAAACCAGCCTAATTATTAGCATAAGTTGGCGAGCATTTGTTCTTCCCATGATGCTTCTGCGCATGGCATTTCTCTTCCATCTTCCCATCGTCCTCCACGGTTATATTTTTTTTTGCGGTGGGGGGTGCAGCAGGGGTTAGATTATGAAAACAAAGCAACGATTCGAAGAAATGGACTTTACACTTTAATATTTCAGACGGAGTAATGTAGCGCTGACATAGCTAGTACTTTAATAGCTTTTCTTCTAGCAAAAACCGGCCAATAAGTTCTGCAAAATGGCCCCTGGCAAAGCGAAAAGCGTAGATGAAATTACTCTCATGCAACTGTGTGACATGATGAAGATTTTTGCTATAACGGACGAGGGATTGTCGGAGAGCCAGATGAGGTCTCGATTAAGAGATGCGTTAAACCAGGCAGAAAAGACGACCAACTGGTCAGTAGGAAAGGTAAGGTATTAGAGAACAATCGAGTTTTGATCGTTATTCAGTAGCTTACATTATGCCACTTCGCGTGTGCGTTGTGGGGTCATGCGAGTCGCAAGGCGTTTAGTTTATGCTAGACCTTATGAAATACCGATCAAGCTTTAAATTTATGAACAGTTTTTATTTCATTCCATTTGTTTGGTGGAAAAGAATCCTATTTTTCTTGCAAGAACTGGTCTCCGACCGGAAGCTTATTCACATGATATTATCCATTGTGAAACCGAAAGTCTTCCGCTTTCATCTCACCGATCACGTGACAATTAAACGTTAATAGAAGGAGCAAGATCACCCATATATTGTGGATTCCTTGAGTTAATGTGCACTTCTTTGTCCCATTTTTCCAATATAAAAGAACTTTTCAAATTAAAAATAAAGGAAAAGAAGGCTTTAGTATACAACACCCAGGCATTTTTCCTAATAACTGAACAGTTTTCTTATAATGAAAGCAAACAGAGCGAGGTGACACCTGAGGTAAATTCGGCTATCTTATGCACGTCCACTCAGTGTGATCATATTGATCATATTGAGATACATTGTTGTATACAATACTGTTGAAATTGAAGTGATTCGGCTATTCCGAATGAACCGGTATAACCCCATATTCAATTCCAGTGAAGTTGTCTAACCTGAAATTTTCCCGGTACTTTGAAACAGTTTTCTCGGAAAAGATCACCCGATTCTGGCACCAGTCAGCAGGGCTCAAAGTTTAAATTTGACTTTGGGAGCACTTGTGTTACCAGATGTAAATTTTTAGGCGCACTGCCGAAATTTTAGGCGCACAGCTGAAAATTTTAGGAGCGCAGCTTATAATGTTGCGAGCATCTATTTCAAAAGAAAAAGTAAAAAGCTTAACAGTACCACGTTTATTTGTCATCTTCAGTTTGTTACTTTTACTTCAGTCCTGTGATTGATAAAACACAGCCGATTTGCTACGCAGTAATACCGTTGTGATTTTTAATACTAATTTCTCTTTTTGACAGTACAGTTGTGACTAAAGAAAACTTACACTTGAAAAACAATTCAAAACTGACAACAATGAGTGTGTCGAACGAGAATGAAAATTAATCTTTAATGAATTTGTTAAATGCACAATGACTTACATATAACTGGAACAGGACTTAAAAAACTTTCTTACCTGGAAAAAAGGCTCTTAATCCGCACTGTTTTCGTTTTGATTGACGTTAAAACTGAACGTTCGACATGATCGTCCACTGCGCAAAAAGTACGTGTTTCGTTCGTAACATATGTTTGCATGTGTCAGCGGTGTTTATTACAAAACAGAAGAGTCTGGTATGGAGTAAAACATCGAAACGAAAAAGAACATTCGAGTTCGTAGAATCCATTGGAAGAAAAGACCAATTGAACATACACCATCTTTCTAGTTCGAGTTCGTAAGTATAGTCGGAAGTAAGTCAGCCGCACTGTGCCTTGGGTTTTACGGCGCACAGGCGCGATTACACATGAATTTTTAGGTGCACAACCAAAAATCCAGTCGCATATGCGACCAGTTAGTCGCTAACTTTGAGCCCTGCAGTCTGGTGCCAACTTTCCTTTTGAAAATTTTAATGTACTTTTATGGCTCTAGTAATACTCTGATAATGCCGGAAAATACTTACTTTACTCTTTTCAGGCTTTTTCCATTTTGTCGAAGGCCAAAGAAGAAGATGACATTAAAAGACAGGCCTTGCTTGGCTTTTACGCCAAAGCCCAAGACATTCTGAGTAAAATGGACGAACCGATGTTAACTTTACTTCAGAGGCACACAAAAAATGTGAAAGAAGTTTTGGAGTGGCACGAAAAGCAGCTGAAGCAGACGCACTACTTTCTTCTTGTGTCTGGTAAATGATTCATCCCCCGAAAATAGTGTTCTGTTTATTAGCTATAAGTTTCATATCTGATGACGATTTTTCCTGACTCAGCCAAAAGCTAAATATAGATCACAAATAATATGTAAATTAAGCCAAGCCACTAAAAGTAGATGCACCCGCACATTACTGAACGTTAATTTGAAAGAACAGTGCTTGTCATCGACAGTAATTTGAATACAGTCATGTTTTACGAGAAAAATAACATTCCCCCCCAATTTTTTCCCGTTAAGTAGTAAGTTATCTGCATTTGAATAGCGCAAATGTTTACGGGGATAAATTGTCTACTAACGTATTAAGTTGTTTTGGCATCATATTGGTTATCTTGTCCAAAAAGCTACAAAAAGTTACCACCAAAGCCCTAAAATAACGAACCCTGAAAGTAAAAAATATCAGACCGACCGTATGGCTGCTGCTTGCGAAGTTTAAGAATTATTTTCAGTTTCGGAACTATTACGCTAGATGAGTGTCAATACGACTGAGAACGACTGAAATTTCAACTCTGATCTGTTGTTTCATGTCTCAAATAAAATCAAGGTTAAAAAATATCGCATTCTCCCAGTTAAATGTTTGAAAGTCTACAACGCCTAGCTGCACCTAGTTTGTTAAGAGAGTGAGACGCCTGCTTGCTAATGATGGGGACTAACTGCTGAGAACATCTGGTACAATGGGGAGGGGTGATCTCTCTCAAAGCCGTTATTGTCTCTTCACTCAACGCTCCTTCCAAGGGAGGATATACCGTATTTATTCGATTGAACGCCTAGACGTTTATCAAATTTTTAGCGTGCGTTTATTCAAGAATGGCGTTTAATCAAGGGCGGTAAATCGTTTGTAAATATTATGTAATGTAAAGGTTCCAATGTCTCTCTTATTTCGCTGAGATAGAAATCGTAAATGTCTGGATGGTGTAAATTACCAAGTTGTATAGCCTGTGTACAGACGCCCCCCCCCCACCCCCCCCTCCCTCAGAAAATATCGGGAGAAGGGGGACGTCTGTACACAGGCTACAAGTTGTATCGAGGTTTTTCTTATTTTCATTAGGTGCGCGGTTCATTCGAGGACGTCGTTTATTGGTAACTTTACTTCCATCAGCGGCGTTTGATCGAGGGCAGCGTGTAATCGAATAAATACGGTAAGGCCGGGAGGCGGCCGTTCTGGCAAATGCTTCCAATAGGATAGTTCCGTTTTGGGTGGCATAAAACGCCATCCAATTTACTGGGTACCGCACTGGGCGGACTTGTCGTTTTGGTGTTTTTGCAGGTGAAACGTCCTCTGGTAAAAGCAGCCTGGTGAATCTTATTCTTGGAGAGGAGATTCTGCCGTGTTGTACCACCCCCACAACGTCCACCATATGTGAACTGAAGTATGGAGAGAGACCTGCAATGGTGGTGCACTTTAAAGACAAGGATCCTGAGACAGGAGAGACCACTAAAAACATCCCATTTGGCGAACCTTTTGAACAAAGTAGTTGTCGTAAGCAGATCTCGACTTTTGTTCACAAGAAAGGTTCATCGTTTAAAAAGGTTGAACTTTTCTGGCCTCACGATCTTTTACAGGTGAGTAATAATCTAATAGGACTGAGTGGAGTCCAGTTCTGTCTGTAGTCATACTACGCGATCGTCCGATTTGTTTAATCACGAATATCTCTACAGACCGAATTGGAGGGTACATAGTCACTTAAGAGATATTTCGGGAGTATTTTGCCAGAAGTTAAAAAAAAAAAAAGAACAATAACAAAAACAAAACTGTCCTATTACACTGCACCTATTAATGCTGAAACTCAATCAAGGCAGCTGATAGTTTCATGAAGATTTCTTAGAAATTTCTACAATTGCTAAGATTTTGTAAAAAGTTTGACTTTCAAGGAATTTATGTTGTTTTTTGGAATAGAATGCCCTGAATTTTGAGCACCTTGCTAAAAAGCAGACGTTAAAAATTCAAAAGTTATTATAAATCTTTGGGAAATAGCCTGCAGCACAGCCATATTTGCAGTGGTTTCCGGAATGCGGAGAGAGGTGTTTAACCGACCCTTGAGGGCTAACCCCGAGACGATTTCTTGCTCTCACTTGCTCTTGCCCCCGTAAGGCCTATTTGCATTTTCCCTCGTTCTCAAGATAGAATTAATTACTGCGCTTTTCACAAACATGCGAATTCTGAAGTTCAAAAGCCAACTGACGATTGCGTTTTTCGCTGCCGTCAATCATCTTAACGGACCTCTTAGGAAACAAAACTTTACTTTAACGGGTTCAAAAGGTCAAGGTTTGTGATTTGTGATTGGTGGATTTCGATCCGTTTTGTGTATTTCTGTGTTTCAAGGTTCGTTGCTTGTGATCGTAATTATGATTGACGGCAGCGAAAAACGCAATTGTGAAGGCGGCTTTTGAACTTTAGAGTTGGCATGTTTGTGAAAAGCGCAGTAACTGGTCTAAGATGTTCCATACGCTCATATCCGGGAAATGATAAGTCTTCATTAATACCATCCTCAGATAACTTTTGTTGCTGAATTATAGAAAGGAATAGTGATCATTGACAGCCCTGGTGTTGGAGAATCTGACGAAATGGATGAAATGGTAATTCAGTATCTCCCAGAAGCCTTTGCTTTTATATATGTCGTCAACAGTTCAAATGCTGGTGGAGTTCAAAAGGACAGAGTGAGTGCTTAGATTAGTGTGTGTTCGCTCGGTTTACACGGAAGCTGAGAGTATTTGCGGGGTAATTATTCTGGTCAAAAGAACTGACGGCCGATTCCTAAGGAAATTTCAACAAAAACGCGTGGATGATGAAGCTTTTAAAAAAACTGGACTTAGATTTGATCTAATTAATCCCATTTCTGAGGGTGGCTTCTTTAGTTTAAAATCCAATTTTGGATTGTAGTAAAGAAACATACAGTCGTTTTTGGATTCAACGATGCAAATTTAGATTTCTCTGAAGAAGCAAACTAAGTCAATACCACATTTCCATTCAGAAGAAGTCAATTAATTCACTTAGTATAGAGTGGGTGATGACTAAATAAGAAAACGCGAATGGCTAAGGTTTTGCACCAATATTTTTTCCGAGAGCTGTATTTCGAAAAAGAAAGGAAGAAGCACTCTATAGTAACTCGGAATAGCTTCTATTTGGTTGTCTGTTACAGAATAGTATTTTTTAGGGGCCACCCCAAACATGGACCACGCCCATATTGGCCTCCATTTGCAGTGTTTAATTCCAATTTTCTCTATGAAGTTCATCGCCCATTTCAACGAAGCTCTTTTAGGAAAAATTTGTTTGTCTCTTGTCCCCTTGTTGTCTCCTTTTTCTACGTAACAATAATAATGAGGACATACATTTATGTTATTGTGCCAACGTTAATTTTCTCTCGCAGCTTGTAAAGCTGCTCCAAAGCGTAAGGGACGTGTCAATCGATGTGCCAGGAAAAGGAAAAGAGGATGTTGGATTATCCCTTGATATGCAGGAACAACTGTTATCCAAGTGTGCTTTGTTTGTGTGCAACAAATGGGACACCGTTCCTGCGATAGATGTGCCAATCGTTAAAAAAGAAGTTATAGAGAAACTCCAAAGGGTCTGGCCTGGTGTTGATCCCGATTCACAGATCATTTACATGTCAACCACGAACGCTAGTTATGCTCAAAGCCTTCTTGGTGTTATCATCAAAGAATTTTCATCTTTAATAGAAAGATTGAGGTCATTGGTCTTGCAGAGTATCGAAGCAAAGCTGGAACTTCATTGGGAGTAAGCGTTATTGTACATGTTTTAATTTTGTTCGTCGCCACGTGCACTGTGAAACTTATGGACGGGTGTTAATATATTTCATTGACGAGTAAGAGTAGTCCTGTAACGCCGCAAAATGTAACATTAACGCGAAATGTAACAACTTTTGACGCGAAATGTAACATTAACCCGAAATGTAACAACTTTTGACGCAAAATGTAACAACTTTTTCACGCGAAATGTAACAACTTTTTGACGCAAAATGAAACAATATTTTTAACGCGAAATGTAACAAGCAAAATGTTACAGCCTTGAAATAACTGAGAGACTTGGACATGAGCCTTGTAGATAAAGTGTAAATTGTCTGATGATTACAAAAACAGTTTATTTATAAAGTTTTCTAATAATGAATGATTATTTATAAAGTTTTCTTTTAAGATAGATATGAAATTTCTCATTTCTTACCGGACTTCCAGTAAATGTGAGAAATTTCATACCAACCCACTCCTGCTGCCTTAAAATTTAACCATGCCAACGCCCATTTAACACTGTTGATTATCTCACGCAGTCGGATGACTGCTCCGCTACACTTTCCTTTTAGGGAAAAGGGGAGGAGGTGGGTAAAAACAGACAGCGTCGGATAAAAACAGAAAGCGTCTTCATTCGACGAAAGTGTGAAAAGAATGATCAGCAATAGATACTCGCCTCGATTTCATACGGGCTCAACTCCCTGGAGGGAGTCTGCTAAAAATGTACCATCCTAACCCATCTAATACGTCCTAGATGTTGTAACGCCAACTTTCTTTTCAGCGTCACACATGTGTACAGAAAGATATATTAAACAACAATTCGTTCGACTGTTTCAGGATTTAGTTACTATTATCGAAAAACGTTTTTGTAAGTTTATTTGACATTATAAGAAAACTTTATAAATAAACTGTTTTTGTAACCACCAGACAATTTACACTTTATCTGCAAGGCTCATGTCCAAGTCTCTCAGTTATTTCAAGGCTGTAACATTTTGCTTGTTACATTTCGCGTTAAAAATATTGTTTCATTTTGCGTCAAAAAGTTGTTACATTTTGCGTCAAAAGTTGTTACATTTCGCGTTAATGTTACATTTTGCGTCAATTGTTACATTTTGCGGCGTAACAAGTCCCCCACCCGTAAGTTTTTTTCTAGTAACGTAACGCCCCTCCCCAGTGCAATAGTAGTGTGTTAGTAGAGTAGCCAGAACCAGTCTATCTAGAATACCCATCGCGCAAGTCAACCTCGTCCCAGGGTTCTTAATATGGGTAAATCCGTGGGAACGAGGTTGCAAACAAAGTGTAACAAACGTTTACGGTTAACGGCAAACGGCAGACTCAAGTGGGGAATTTCTCAAAATAGAAAATTAGCAGATAAAAACAGTCTAAAATAATTCTTGTGAGTAAAATTAAAGTGAAAATACTTATTTTTTGTATAAATAAAGAACTCTTTTTAAAACCTTAAACGCCATTTAACCGTTACACTTTAAGGCCGTTCTTAAAGAGGAGGGTCACGTGGCACAAAGTTACGTTTGCCGTTGACATGTCTCTAAATCTCTCTAATATCAACAGAAGACTGGATCACGAATTGATAAATATATTTGTTTGTAGATGGCTTTACAAACTTTTTTCAAGGATTTTCGTTCAAGCAAAAGTGTTTACAGTAAACGCTTCCAAGAGCCCCGAAACAATCAAGGAGAGACTGGCCAAAACTTTGAACGGCTTAGAAACAATTGAAAAAGATCAAGGTAAAGACATAAAAGACCTCCGCAAACGTTTCGAAGAAAAAATTGACAGTGTTGTGCATCAACTCGCACACCATCTCTTGTCAGATGACATAAAGAAACGCTTTACAGAGTGGTTCAAAGAAAACGTTCCAGATAAGGATGCGTCCTGGAAGGAAGTTGAAGAGAATGTAAACGCCGCTTTTTCCAAACGTTTTCTGGAAATTGTAGATCAGTGGGAACAGGAAAACAAAGTGTTTTCAACCACTTGTACTTTCCTCATGGAGCAGTTTCAAAATTACGTTAATACTGTCGAATTCAAATTACAGAATGTTCAAAGGGAAGCCGTAGATGATGACTCCAGCAATCCAAACAAGGTAGTCTTTAGAATTCAAGTTTCATTTTTGCAGAAAGCCATTTGGAACATAAAGAATGTTACTCTTGGCGTCATAGGGCGGATTATTCGCCTATGGATAAAGGCATCGATCGATGACAACATTAAAAGGGATATCCAGGCTTCCGATGTAAAACTCTTGTACACAGATTTATTAGAAGAGGTGTCTAAAGGCATCCTCACTGATAGTATAAAAAAGAAGCTTCAACCGTTTGTGGAAGACAAATTAAAGGATGCTAAGCTCTATCTTGATAGAATTGAAGCTCGCCTACAAGAGTTGATCGAGGCGGACAGGTCACTTTATGAGCAACTCAGGAAACGACCGGCTCGCTATCAGCCTGTGTTTCAGGAGGTAACACAGCACATGGATCAGCTGGCAAAATTTGGCTTAAACGAAGTTTGTGCTGTAAAAATCGATCGCGAGGAATTGGAGTGGAAAGAAGAAACGTCTTCCTGCCTTGGCCGTGGTGCATCTGGTACCGTTTACCAAGGAACGATGAAAAGAGATGGAGAGGTAAAAAATGTGGCCTTAAAGGTGTGGAATAAGGCGCGTGATGCTGCAAATGCAAAAGAAATCATGGAGGAGGTAAAAAATTTGAGGTAATGATTGTACACTCACTAGTCCGAAACAGCTACACCTCCACATATATACTTTCTTCTATACATTTGTGTTAGTACACTACTTGCCTGCAATGTTTCTCGGCAGTATCATAATATGGTCAGTTTCCTTGCAGATTTTCAGCGAAAAACTGTAGTTGAAATCTATCGTCCGACGAGTGTTACATATTTTTGTTTATTTTTGCTACCAGTTGGAGTCCGTGCAAGTTAAGTAATTCGACTCTTTTTAGGATTCTTCTATAGCTGCTGTCGGTGATCTCTCTCGTCATATTGTTGAGTTCTGCAGTTTTGACGAAACAGCTAGGTTGCCACGCCACTGTCTTACGTGACGTCATCGTGGATAACTTTTGCTGATATTCCATCAGTTATGATTGACGTCAATGATAAAATACCGTGGAACTGAATCGATATAACTAAGGGCCAAAGAATTCTGGCAACATGTGCCAATAATGATAATTAATAATAATAAAATGATAATGATTATAATAATAATAATAATAATAATAATAGTAATAGTTAATCAATTAATTAATTATTAATGATTTATCTTCGTCTTTTCTGTTAATTAGAGTGTTAAACCACCCCCACATTGTGAAGTTTTATGGCATATTACTTGACAAAGAAACTTCACAAACGGCTTTGGTCATGGAAAAGTGTAAAGGAAACTTAAAGAACCACATCTTCAGCGGTCCAGAGTCAGTTCCTGGCAAATCTGAAAACCCCGCTGTCTTCAGAGACGTACGCCGTTGTGCAAAAGAGATCACCGATGGTTTGGCTTTCATGCATGCGATGGGAGTCTTACACAGGGACCTCAAGTTGGAAAATATCTTGGTACTAATCGTATAAGAATACATGTATTTTTTCACGATTGTATTATAACCAATTATTGGATGAGGTTTTTGTGATATCCAGAATAATCAAGGTCGAGGTAGTGGTTATCACCGTAGCCGAAGGCTGAGGCTGATAACCCTTACCTTACATTGAACGAAAAAAAAAACTCTTTTTAAAGAATATTTCAGTGCCATTAAGATATTGAAAGTATTTTAATTATACTCGACTTACCTCAGATCAGGCCGAATTTTAGTAATTCTGATACTACCACTCTGAGGCAGTATCAAAATTACTAGGTCCCACAAGTCAACAGTTACCGGCACCTTTCAAACGATTTATTTACAGACTCAAGCAAAAATGACTACAAGAGAATGACTGGACAGTCGACAATTTGAAATAAACGACGGTTAGCTCTGTGACAGAAGACGGATCGAAACGCACCAATGACATTAGGAGTCTTCATAGCTAATAATATCACGGCTTAACTGACAGACGACCAATACCCAGAGTATCAATACCCAGAGTTTGATACCATGAATTGACTTGATACAACTCACTTTGACTCTTAAGATGACCAACGCACACTGACAGGTTGTCGAAAAAAGGTTAGCCACTGTCAACAACAGTCCTATGTTCAGGACTACATTCACCCGTAAGATCGAGATATGTCCAGAAATGCACGCATTGGCCAAAATGGCAGAAATGGCAATTAATCGCCAAAATCGCCAAACTATAAACAAAAATTCAAATGAGATGGCAAAGGGGCCCTTTGCAAAGTGGCGATTTTGGCGAAAATGGCGTATTTGGCGAAAATGGCAGAAATGGCGCTTAATCGCCAAAATCGCCAAACTATAAACAAAACTTCAAATGAGATGGCAAAGGGGCCCTTTGGAAAGTGGCGATTTCCGCGAAAATGGCGTATTTGGCGAAAATGGCAGAAATGGCAATTAATCGCCAAAATCGCCTAACTATAAACAAAAATTCAAATGAGATGGCAAAGAGGCCCTTAGCAAAGTGGTGATTTCGGCGAAAATGGCGTATTTGGCGAAAATGGCAGAAATGGCGCTTAATCGCCAAAATCGCCAAACTGTAAACAGAAATTCACATGAGATGGCAAAGGGGCCCTTTGCAAAGTGGCGATTTTGGCGAAAATGGCGTATTTGGCGAAAATGGCAGAAATGGCGCTTAATCGCCAAAATCGCCAAACTATAAACAAAAATTCAAATGAGATGGCAAAGGGGCCCTTTGGAAAGTGAGGATTGTTAAGGTCTACATTGAACCTCAAAAGTTAGAGTGTCCATGGCAAGGAATTATTATGATTTCAAGGACTTGGTAGTTCTCTCCTCGAGTTATTAGTGGACTTGTAAGTCTTTGAAAGGAATGAACCATACAAAAGCAAATGATGCTAGTGTGATATTTCAGCGCATCACATCACGTTTGGTAAGTCAAGCGACATCGAAAGTAAGAAAATGTTTACTTAACCTGTGAAGTACATGGCACAAATACATATTAGCTTAACTGAAACGACTTCCATTTGTTGTTTTCAGATATATTTGATTCAGTTGTATTTGATAAAATAATGTTGTTTGACAGTTAGGTAAAGCTGTTTTGTAATATATTTGATTCAGTTGTATTTGATAAATGTTGCCTCACAGTTATTGGGGCCTCTTATTAGGCAAGTAATTTGCCTCACAGTTATAAGGACCTCTTTAGTTATCTATTTTGAAGGGGCCACTTTTGGCATCCAATTTGAATATTTTGCTGCATATCACCAGCCCTCTGGCGATTTTTGCCAAAATCGCCAATTTCGCCAAAATCTCAATTTTTGCCAAAATCGCCAGCCTCCAAGGGGCCACTTTTGGCATCCAATTCAAATCGCCAGAGGCTGGCGATTTTTCGCCAGTTTCGCCATTTTCGCCATTGCATGCAGGGCGATTTCTGCCAAAATCGCCAATTTCGCCAAAATCGCCATTTTCGCCAAAATCGTCAACCTCCAAGGGGCCACTTTTGGCGTCCAATTCAAATCGCCAGCAGCTGGCGATTTTTCGCCACTTTCGCCATTTTCGCCATTGCATGCATTTCTGGACATAAGTGGTAAGATCATGCTCCACTTTCTAATTATGGACTGTCTCGCTTTCTTGCCCATGTCAATTTCAATCATTTCCAGCTTGTAAAATAAACCCTGATTTCAGGTAGGCTCGACCATATGAGTGCACCCAAAATTACACTGCTTTGTAAATACTTCACGTTGCGATTTTAGTGAGCGGCCTGCCGCCGTGAAAAGTGCTGTCGGTTCACCATTATTGTTACTGAGAACCTGTTTACACGAGTCCAGACTAAAACGGACAAAAATTTGCACGGATCCGTCTATCGTTTACATGAGACCCGCGGAACTCTGCAATTCAGTTTTTAACAGCAAACCGTATTGCAATCTGTAGCATATTTTTTTCAGGCTTTCTTTTCGCAACTGCTTATGTTGCGTCTATAACTGCGATGATCTTCTTTCATATAATCCTTTAACCCGCAGTTCTCATATATGATTTTTATATATTCATAACTTCATCATCATCCTTTCAGAGGGTTTATAACGAACCAGCAAAATTGGTAGAGCGCTACACCGGTATTGCAGAGGTCAAGGGTTCGAATCCCGTTTAAGCCGAATTTTTTTCAGGCTTTCTTTTCGCAGCTGCAAAAGTTGCGTCTATAGCTGCGATGATCTTCTTTCATTTAAGAATTTGCCGGGTTCCGTATTAACGGGTTGCACAGGTGAAAATCCGTCCTTTAAAAATTTGTCGGGACGCGCGTAAATGGGGTCTGAGAGAAATGAAGAAAAAAGTATAGTCACTGCACTCTTCTAAAAGTCTATATTCCTTGTCCCATTAAAGCTGACTGACGAAAACACAGTGAAGATTGCCGACGTGGGCCTGGCTAAAGCAGAAATAGACATCACCGGTACCTATACGGGAACACCTGTTTATATGGCACCTGAAGTGTTCCATTCCCAAGTCTACTGCACCAAGGCAGACATCTACAGCCTGGGGCTGTTAATGTGGGAGATGTGGTACGGACAGAGGGTCTTTGTTAACGTTGCAGCAGCAACACTTCAAGATTACTTTGATTGGATCGATAAAGGAAACCGTCCAGTGGACAGACAGGGCTGCAAGAAGCCTCCATCCTTCTGGTGCAACCTGATGACAGAGTGTTGGGGCAGTAATCCAGCGAAACGCCCCACAGCCAGAGAATGTAACCAAAGAATAGTCGGGGTCTGATACTAATGCCTGAGCCGTTATAGGATAATGTGATAAACTAGCATTTGTCAGAGCTTTGTGGCAAAATTCAAGAAGCTTCAAAAGAAGGATTCAAAAATTCGTAAGAGGCCAGGTTTCTCTATTGTCAATCTCAAAAGAGGCAGGCACTCAAAAACCCATAGAAATTCGATAAAAACGATGAATGTAACCGACGCTCAGAACAAGGTAACGCCTATATTCAGAACACGGAAATAGAAAGTTGTAGTTAGCAATTTATCTGCTATACTACTGAGCTACTCTTGTACAATGTAGCTTCATGGTAAGCAACAAGAGCTTTATTCTCTCTTGTAATCAAATCTCGAATTGTTTTAACAATTACAGTTTTTGTTAACAGTGCTTTCAGGAAAGCAATAGATAACAACAGATTGAAGCTCCTGATGATAAATTTTTATTGTACTTTTTGATCTGTCAGGCATGGCTCCAAGAAGTCAATGAGTTGTCAAAGGAATCATGGAGTCTATAAATAGGTTGATGTTAGTCTAGTTAAAGGGGCTATGTCAGCTGGAGAGCATGCGCTCTGAGGTTATGCAAATTACTTTCAACTGTCAAAATTCTATTGTTTTTAACGCGTGACTTTCTCCATGTGCGCTCTGAGGTTATGCAAATTACTTTCAACTGTCAAAATTCTATTGTTTTTAACGCGTGACTTTCTTCATGTTCTCTGTCACGTCCAAGGTTCCGAATTTAGAGAGGTTAACAAGCGAAATGTGTTTGGATAAGGGATATTTCGATAGAATTTATGGAACGTTTCTTCTCTGGTTATGCTAGATCAAGAATAAAATTGTGACGACAATTTTACTTGTAGTTTTGAAGTAAAAACGCATGCCATTCATAAAATAGAGCGCAAACAAAAATTCAACAACAACATATTGTCTTATTCAACAAAATAAATGGAAGTTGTATTTTACAAACGAGCTACAAAAGACGCTAGACCGAAGATAAAGACCAAGACTGTTTCAAATCATTAACAATTAGACTTGTCTGTCGCTACTGATTTTATAATTTAGATGCTGATAGAACAAGAGACCAAGTCTTTGTTTTGATCTTAGGGAAACATACATTATCGCGCAAAATTGTTCGATCGTGCCAAATCACTGCGACGTCGAGAAAAACAGAACCCAGCATCATTGGTATACTACTCCACTATAAGCAGTCCGTTGATAAAAAGGGAAAGTAAACTCTGCTATTTTCCAAAATTATGCTCGAACACAAACAGTTCAAAAACATGGCATTTACAGGATCTAACTCGTACTAAGGTGCCTCTCTAAGTCCGTTGAGAACAATCTGGACGAGCAAACGGTCGTGTTTATCTTTGCCGTGAATCGAGATAAATATAAGAAGGAATCTAGCCGAATTTTAGAATGTTTCCTTCGCCAGGAGTTTAGTTTCGTCACGAAACTCATGGCCTGATGCTCTTGTAATCGTTTACAAAAAACGGCCGCCGCCAACTCGATAGCCGCTTCACTATATGTCCACATACTTTGAGCACAAGAAAAATCCAAGAGCCAGCAGCCTCTAAAATAACTCAATAGAAAGGTCCTGTGAACTATAGGGAAGATTCCATCAAAGATTCCATCACTCATTGTGGAGTAGCCGTCATTAACTCTGCCATTACAACGGCCGCTGATAAGAGGACACAGTAAATCCACGTAAAAACATTCCACAGGCAAACAATTTTAAAATAACGCCAAAAAATTGTTCTGTAATCACCATAGATCGATTCTTAATACAAAACTTCGCTAACTATCGAACGATGGCTGAGATTTAGACAGATAAAAACAGCCTTCCAAAATCTCCGACACAACTTGAAAAAGTTGGGCCGTCTTTTTCAAGTTTGTCTTCATTGGCTCGCGCATGCGTGTTGGGTGACATAGCCCCTTTAAGTGTTCTGCGATCTTTCACAATCGTTTCCACTGGAAAAAAAAAACAGACCCCAACAAGGGAAACAAATAAAAACAAGCATACTTTGATAGTGAGGGAAAATTTACGTTTAGGGTGATAGCCTTCAACTTTCCAAAAGTTAACTACCAAGAAAAACGTTATAGCTATAGAACATACAGAGTTTGTTAACATGGCGTATTTGTAACGCTGTGAGAGTTGTGTCAGCATAAGGATTATTGATGCAGGGCCAGCACAGTCCCGCGGTAAATTATGATAGTTTTGTTTATGATTTTGTTTTTTTTTTTTCAAGTTGTTTTTCAGGTTTCTTTTACTTTTAGAAAAATGCAAGAATTAAAAACAGAATTTGGCTTGATCGCATAAAATTTTGCTTTTTGGTAGCTTCTCCAAAGAATTTAAAAAGGTTCTTGTGAAATATGGACCTAAAGCGAACTAGGTAGTCTGTATATTTGCAGTTTTTGTCTTGTCCTTTTTCCTGACAGTTGTTCTTTAATGAAAATAAGCTAAGTAGTATAAAGACAACTACAAAAGTAGAGTCGTAAAAATAGATGAATTTTTGTTTCAAAAAAGACGAACAGGAGGGCAATGGAGGCTCTTGTGACAAATTATTTGTTTCCTATTTTTAGAGCAATAACAAGGCCTCCTGTTTTCAATCAATCCAGCTCTACATTGATTTCCGTGATTTTGCAATAACTGAGTAGCGAGGCAATAAATTTTGAATGGAAACTTTTGTTTCAGATTACTTTAATTATTTCTTAACTGTTGGTTTTATGAACTTGAAACTGATGGGTATTAGACACTGAAGCAGCGCTAGAACAAGTCACTGATGTTGATGATACCCATCCCATGAAATCTAATGTTGACGACACCCAACCTAGGGAATCTGATTTTGAGAACACCCATACCGGGGAACCTGTTGTTGGCGACACCCACCTCTGGGATTCCGATGTTGACTACCTCCACTCCTGGGACTGATCTGATGTTGACGATACCCACCCCGGGGAAATGTTAACGTCACCCACCCGAGGGAATCTGATGTTGACACCTACTCCGGGGAAACTGATGTTAACGTCACCTACTCGAGGGAGGGAATCTGATGTTGAAGATGGCCAATCCCAAAAATCCAGCGTTCAAGGAACTTTCCCATATACAGTGTCCAACCCGGTGAATTGTGCTGAATTGAGTGAATGAACTTTTTGCTATTAAATATTCTGCAAAGAACCTCTGATATATCGGCAAAAAACCCGAATTGAAATCAAAACGAGAACATACCGTGAGGCAAAGGTTGTATTTTGAAGAGTTATTTACATTCACCCCAGAAAAAAAGGTCAGGCGAACGCAGTTGGCAAAACCAGCGAACTTTGCTTACTGGCCACTAACCCACGTCGAACCAACACTGAGCCCGGATTGAATGAAAAAAATGACTAAATAAAACAAATAAATAATTCATTAAAGTTCAACCCAAAACGTCCGTTCATTTTACAAAAATAACTTGAAAACAAACGTTTTTTTGCATATTTATTTATTAACCAATGTGTAGCAAAGGAAATTGACGCTTCAATTCGTATATCTTATTTTCTATTTAACTATTAATGATAACACTAATCACAGTGAAAGTGATGCGTTCTTAACCACCTCGGGAAAATAAGGCAGCCATTTCTCTCACGAAAAGGAATCACATAGTGGCATGTTAGACCAATTTTGATACATTATATATCATACTTGACCTGGAGGAATAACAAAAAAAAAGTCTTATTCGTAATGGTAACAGGACTGAGTGGAGTCCAAGTTGGTCTGTAAACATACGAGTGATTAACAAAATCGGACGACCGCGTAGCGGGAGTCCGATTTGTTTAATCATGAGTATGATTACAGACCAAATTGGACGACACGAAGTTCTGTCACCAATTAATCACAACTTCAACAAAATTTGTGATATAATAGGCTATTTTTTAAATCAAAACACAAGAAATTCGAAATTTTGTTTTGCTAGCAGTGAAAAAAAGCCATTTAAGCGCGCGCGTGATGGCGCGTACTGTTCTATTAAACTGTCCAATTAAGGCTGAAATCAGGGCAGTTGATAGCCAATCAGATTTGATAATTTTGTTATAGTGATGATCAATCCCTTAACCTCCACTGAAGGAAGTGATTTCTTCTGTTTCATTTTCCCAAGCCTTGGAGCCAAGTACGAATGTTCATTTGTCAAAATTGGTCTAATTAACACTCAACTAACACAATAATGTTAAGCTTAATTTGATTAATAGGTTTTAAAAAAACAAAACATCATTGAGCTATAACAGAAAGCTACAACTATAATAGCCCTTATGCATGTTTGCGTCAAATGAGCAAATTTCTCCACCAAACCTCGTTTTGAATTGTAAAGTTGCGAAGTTTTGCAAAAAAGAATGTCCCAAGGCAGTAAATTTGAAAAGAATATCCACGCAAAAAGAGTGCAAATGCAAAGAATTTTCCTTGCAGACGAGGCTTGGTGGTGAAATTTGCTCGTCTGACGTAATCATGCATAGGGGCCATTGGAGGCAAAACAGCTAATACGAAATATGTTTTCTGCTTGACATTTGAACAGGAAAGTACGTTTTTAAATCGCGGGTTTCTTTTTAGGCTGAAAAGGAACATGCAAATATTGGCAATGGAATGTGCTTAATAATAAAGCATGCTTAACTGATAAATTTGTAAATTTATTAAAGTTTGTCTGTACATAGATTTGCGACTCACATCAGGTTGAAATAAGATGCATGTTCAGCAAATAAGTTTGGGACTACTGTTTCTCGAATTCCACCACGTGTTTTTGTGTTTTATGACTTAATCAAATTTTCAATGGCGGGATCCAGGGGGGACATTCCAATCATAAACTCTACAAGTCTATGGAATATTTCACCACACAATTCCCATTTCAGCCTAGCATTAGACCCATTTAACAGAAACGTTTTACACAACAAAACATCAATTTTCCTAGGTATTGATGTCTAAAGATGTACATCTCTTTAAATATATATAAGCAAGGAATTATATTTACCTATTTCTTATTTACAGCTTAGTTTTAATATGTACAATTCAGAAATTCAAGCTTTATAACTGCCCAATAAAGTTACTCCAAATCACAGGGGCGATCGTATTATATAATATAAATTGTTTATCGACTGACAACCAAACATATTAACACAGACTTAATTCATAAACAATAGCTTAACTGTGACCCACGTTAAGGTTTTCTCAGACATAATTTGTGATAGGAGACTTTCAAAAAAAATTTATAAGTAACATTGTCGCTGAAAACACGCCTTATCAGGTTGACGAAAGGTGCTTTCAGCCAAAATTGTTCTTACAATTAATCAGTACTTCAAGTAAGAGTTTTTTTTTCTCAGCATAAAGCGTAGAAACAAAGAAAGGGCGTGACCCACTCCACAAAATATCCAATTTTGAAACTTCCAAAGCTCAATGCCTGAAATGGAACAGTTTGTTTTGTGGTCTTATTTTTCCAGAATTTCCTGGAATTTTCCGCTGAACCCAATTATGTTAGGAGAAATTTTGGTTCAAAGTGTCGCTTTCAAAATTTAGCCGATTTCAGTTTTTCTAAAAACCTTTCACGACTTGGTTTTGGCCTTTTCAAACTTGCCAGAATAATTGGTGGAATGGATCGCAGGCAAGGAATAAAGGACCAACAGCAAAAATGGTGCAAAATAACATAACTGGCTAATAAACACTCATTTACTAGATATACTGGAATACGAAAAAGGTGTGTTAAGCGTGAATAAACTGCAAAAAATGGAGTTGACGATCTCGATGACCTACTCAAATACACACGGTGTAGACGATTGTGCTAGCGCATAAAACTCCCACTACAACGCAACGGGACAACCAGCCTAAGAAAACAGCTGGCATTCCGCGACGTCAGCACTGGTTTACCCGCGAAATGGCGTCTGAGGAAACGGCGCGGAAATATTCAATACCGATGACGCGTCACTACCCAGATGATTCTGATTGGTCGAAGCGAATTTCCCTCGCAGCACGACCAATCAGAAGCACTGCTAAGATCTCTCTTTTCTTAATTTGAGTTTCAAAAGAAGTGAAACTAGAGCGAACGACGTTTTGTCTTGTAAATATAATACACAAATTAAGGTATTCGTCCATTTTACCACGAAATCTCAATTTTAATTTGTTTGTTTTTGTTTTTTTTCATAATTTTAACAAAGTTGAACTTCTACACTCAGAAAACTAGGTAAGACCAGACTCGATAATATATCTTTATCTTCTGATTCAGCTGACAAATTTTTACCCTGAAATTTTCTTTGTTTGTGCTAATAAAAAACTAAACTAGACGAAAAGGGAACAAATACCTAAAGAGGATAAATGGCTTGCCTCTTATATGAACTTCGTGCAACTAAAGGATAAATAATGAATAATGCGATTATATTCTTAGTTACCGTTTTTATATAACAAACTCAATACGATTACATTAAAACCAAACTATATACCAAATACCTAATTCCTGCACTCTTAGGTCGCATAATTGTATCCACACTCTATATAAAATTAAACCACTCTGTTTAATGCAAATTACGCACTAAATAAATGTAAAAAAAATTGTTGTATTTCGAACATACAGCTCGCTGATGCCCTACTTTTTTGATAACAGAATTTTGAAAATAAATGCACTTCCATTCAAGTCATTTTACTGGGACACTGGCTTGGAACTACAAAAGATAATTTGCTGTCACAATCATTCTTTTATAACTTACAAATCAAGCAAGCTTTTAACGGTGAGAGGTAACCGTTTATGTGCTGCAAATCAATTTTCCTTTGGTTCAAGAATTATTTTCCTAACACAGTTTTATTATCTAATAATACACAACAACAAAGGAACTGAATAATTCTTGATCCAAGAAAATAAAAATAGCAAAGAACCACAACATGAGCCCGCTATTTGGGGCTCATTGTGTTACACATGTAATTCGTCAGCGACAATGGTCGGTTATTGAAAGCCAAAAATGGCCTTTTAAATTTCAAATGACAGCGACTTTCCGATTTGCACTCATAGCTAGGTATTGTTGATAACGTCATCCTTTCGTGTTATCGCCAAGACAGATTAAGTGCCTGTATTAATTTTTATGAAGGCCATTTTCTGTCTAGCTCTTCATAACGTGAATAAATTAAATAAGGGACTGTACAATAATTATCGGGAGGGGGGGGGCATTACATAAAATTGCTGCCAAGATAGGGGGGGCTCAAAGTAAAATCACTCATTTGACGGAGGGGGGGCCTTAAGTTTTATTCGAAATAGAAAATTAAACGCAATATACGATTCTCAATACAGGCATCATGATAGAATGTAACAAATATCAATACGAACAGCTGTTAAACGATTATGGAAAATATTCCATCAAAATGAAAAGAAAAATTCACAACTGATCAATTTTAACCCGTCTTCTAATTAATTGAGCTGATCCTATGTAAAGCAAAAATCATGAACTTGTTTTTCAGCTTCCCCCATAAAACAATAGGAATCAAACAGATCTCTTAGACAAGCTTTGTGGTTTTTGATGTGAATAAAAGTAATGTTTCTTCATCGACTGAATCGATTTGCTGAATTCCATATATATCTGGCTCAAAACAAAGTTCAACAGGCTCTCCTCCCAAGGATCTAAATATAATGCAAGCTCTTTTTCGTCTGTTATTTGAAGCGTTCATTCTCCTGTTCTTTGATTTTTTTTTCTCTGCTCCTTTCTCTTTCTGGCTTCAGAAGTTTTAGATTTTGAGCCAATGTGTTAAGCACCCCGGTACTTAGCAAATGCTTTGTCTAAATCTTCAATCAATGTGTGTGGGTAGGTTGGTGGTGGGAGGGGGGGTGCGACGTTATTTTTAACATAACAGAGGGGGGTTAGAACTAATTTTTTTGTTTCGGAGGGGGTGTACTGTCCAAGTTTTTGCCAGATAACTCCAGTTTTTCAGCCCCCCTTCCTGATAATTATTGCACAGTCCATAACTTATTTCACTTAACCTCCTGCTTCACCTATTCACAATATGATAAATTAGACTTTTAACTGGTTAGTTTTATAACTTACGCAATGGAAGTTACGTTACCACGAACTCCTTTGATAGTGGGAGTTCAACTCATTTCAATCAAGATTTCTTGACTGACAAAATCTCTTGAGATTGGAAGGAAAGACCTACATCTTCTACCCGCACCGAATTATCTTGTGCTGCACCCCCCTGAAAAGAAGGGTCTTGGTGTGGGGACCGGGGGAGGGCACTTCAGACGGTAATCGTCTAGACAATTGAAATCCTTCACCATAAAGGAAATTTCTTTCACCCACTTTGATCGCGAAGCAAAGACCAAACTTTCTAGAGACCGTACTGTAATGTTATACGATGTCACTGTCAGACACAGGATTAACTGGTCTCCTCTCATCATCATCCTCATCATATTCTTCAGTTTTCTGATCATCGTAGTTGATATTTTCAAAGTCTCTGTTAAGATTTCCTTTGTTTCGTTGTCATCGGTGTACAATTCTGAAATCAAAATTGAAAACGTGTTAGATATAAGTTTCATAAAAAAATTGAAGAACCTTCAGTTTCCTTTTTCTTTTCTTTTCTTTTTACTAAGATCAAATGAAAACTACTGTGCAGTACTTTCCTGTGCCAATGCTTTTTTAGCCCCTGAGTGAAACCAAAAGAAACTTTGTGACAATTCAAATGAAAGCTAATGAGCAATACACTGCATTTCCCGTGATACTCAGCTTTTTTGGCAGCAGTACAAAGTGCGTTCTATGTTGTGAGTCTGCATGTAGGCCCTAAAGTTTGAAAGGAATGGCTCTACGAACAGCGACTTTCTCCACGGATCCAAATTTCCCAATAGTTATTGATTCGAAGTAGTGCTAGTCTCCTTCGCAGCCGTTTTTTGGATGTCACATCCAAGAAACGGCTGCGAGGGAAACTAAAGTAGTGCGGAATATATGAAAATCATATATGTGAACTGAGGAGTGAAGAATTATTTGAAGGAAGATCATCGCAGTTGTATACGCAACTTTTGCGGTTGCGAAAAGAAAACCTGAAAAAAATTCAGGCTTGTACGGGATTCGAACCCTTGACCTCTGCGATACCGGTGCATGCAGCGCTCTACCAAGCTAACTGGGGGCAAGTCGTTGCGTTGGTCCGTTAAACCCGTGAAAGGATGATGATGAAGTTGTGAATATATGAAAATCATATATGTGAACTGCGAAGTGTATTTTAACCTTAGAGGAGGCCTTGTTTTGTTGTTTAAGCCTTTTTTATTGATTATTTCTCGTTTTCATGTCACTTTAAGCTAAAAAGAGCGCATGGCTTTAGCGATTCATACGCGAAATTTCAGAAAATAGGAATTGTCAAAAGAGCCTGTTGTATCACATGTTAGGAAATTATTACAGGCATTAATGAAGAGCAAGTTGTTTAGTTCTTTCCTTAATACAAAGAGTTAATTAATTTTTCGAGCTTAACACGAGACTGGATGCCTTTCAGTCTGGTGGACGCACGTGCATGTTTTGACAGAGAGGCAAGTGTCGTGGCACAAGTCATATCATCCACAATTCCCTTAGTATGTCTAAGCTGGACAAAGAAAAAACAAACAAACAAAAAAGAATCTGGCTGGTCTCATAAACGAAAAAAGAAACAAGCCCAGGCTTCAAAAAACGGCACAGTTTATCTTACCACAGTAAAGAAAGCTGTGCATGGTTTTGCTAGGGTGGCCAACTTTATGAAGCCTCTACACTTGGCACTGATGCACTCATGTCCAAAAATAACGACAGTTTTAGTCAAGTCGTCAAAGTGAGGCTCACGTGGTAGGAGATTGTGCGAAATGAAAAACAATGTCTACCAAGTGGCTCAAGTGACGAGACAATGGTAATACAATAGCTCATGCTGCTGATACTGTAGAAAGGGGACGGGCTAACTTTAAATCACAGGAGCCGTGAAACGGGCAGTAAATAGGATACCTACGTCGTAAACACTCTTATTCTTCGGCCATTTCAACTTCAATAAAAATAAAAGAAAAACTGCGGTAACATGAAACACTAATGAAACAATGCATGTTACAAAAAACTAGAATTTTGCAGACTAGAATTTTCGAATGTAACAACATACATCTTCAGAAGTGACGGTTGGGACTAGCTACGATGCTACTTCCACAGTTCAATCAAATCTGCATAGCAGCCAGAGGAGCCATTTTGCGGTATAACCCGAATATTAGATTGCGGTTGTTTCACGCGGAAGTCTAGTTTTGTGACTTTTTTGTGTTCGTTTTTGCCACCATCTCTAATTATTTCAATCACCTTTAAAACACCCCTACCAACGAAATATTTTGTAAAACTCTTTAGAACGAAATTCAGCAATAAAAACAAGGAGCCGATTACTAGGCTTCTTGTGCGGCACCATAAGCATGAGCTTAAGTGAATGCAAAGTTTCACGGTATATGTAATCTGTTTGAGTGGTCAAAGTTAGCCTCTTTTCTTTATCATAACCATCCCATAATTAAAAAACACCAGGCCATCTGTTTTAATGCTCAAGTTATTTACCCCATGGCGTTTTGAGGTATTTTCTACAATTTTGAATTGCGCAGATTATTGGATTGACAAAAGTGTTAGTCAATATCGAAGAGAGATTGTCGTATAATGGTAAACCTGCCAGACTGGAACGATCTCTTGAACATTCAATGAATACTCGACAATTATACAAGGAAAGCACTCCAAAACAGCTGCAGCAGTCTTTTGTAGGTCGTTTATAAACTGATACTGAAAATATTGATTTATTTTGTTGACTACGACAATATGTTGTTACTGAGTTTTTGTTTGCGCTCTATTTTTATGAATGGCATGATACGTTTTTACTTCAAAACTACAAGTAAAATTGTCTTAACACTTTTATTCTTGACGAGGAAATTGAGGGAACTTGATCTAGCATAACAAGAGAAGAACCGTTTCGTAAATTCTATCAAAACATCCCTTATCCAACTAGGAGTAGCCCCCATTTTCCCTCAGGGATAGTAGAGCGAGTGAAACGCGAGCGCGCGTGAAAATCACCCCACGCGAGAATGGCGAGACGCTGCGAGGAAAGAGAAAAATGAAGTGAGAAAGAAAAAAATGAATGAAATGAAAAATGTGGTCCCTCATTTTTCTCTCTCCTCGCCGCGTGTTGCCTTTTTCGCGAGGGGTGATTTTCACGCGCGCTCGCGTTTCGCTCGCTCCACTATCCCTGAAGGAAAACGGGGACTACTCGCAGTCTACCTTGGACGTGACAGAGAAAACAATAGAATTTTGACAACCGGAAATAATTTGCATAACCTCAGCACCCATGTTCGCCAGCTGACATAGTCCCTTTAACCCCACCCACCATTCCACAGAAGTTTGACAGTAATCCTATATATCTTTTCTAGGAATTTGTAACTTCCCTCGATGTTTCAAGCATACATTGCCATGGACTTTGCACTAATATAAGAGGTAACACTGGTATATTTCTTCGCATGTCTCAAAATCGGCTGGAAGGTTATGCAAAATGGCCTCTGACAAATCGAAAAGCATCGATAGCATGGGACCTGAGGAGATTTTTGCAACGATGAAGACCCTTGGTGTATCTTTCGATGGAGTGAACACGATTGACGACATGAGGACTCGAGTAAAGGCAGCATTAAATCGGGCAGAAAAGACGTCGAGCTGGTCAGCGGGACAAGTACGGTATTTATTCCTGTCAGTAAAATTTCGAGACAATTTTGGCTGGTATTTATTTAATAGCTTACATAAGCGTCGTTAGTGATTGCTTATGAATCCATGCGAGAAAAAGGAGTTGAAGGTTATTGCTCAAAAGGAAAGACAATAGACTACATATTCATAATAGTTTTAATTTCATTTCAATTGTTTATTTTATGTACTGATCCCACAAGATCCTCAGCTTTTCCTTTCTTAAGCGAAAGAAACCTATATATTTTTCCGGTCTATCATTTAAAAAGCGAGAAATGTGGCTCCAGAGGCGGAAAATTATTTACAGTATCTAGAATGTGAAACCGAAAGTCTTCCGCAACTGACGCTCCCATCTCACCGATCACGTGACAAAACGTCAATGGCGCGGAACAAGATAACAAAGTGAAACGGTATTAGATCTGCTTTAAACCCGTTAATTTCAAAAATTTATTTCTCAAATAACAAAAAAAATTCCCAAAATATAAAGTACACAAGTCTAAAGATATCCGAAGATAAGCCTAACGTTTGAATTTCGGATTTATATCGCAGGCTTAAAAAGTCAAGAATTGCATACTCTATAACTAGCTAGGAATAAAAAGCAAATTGAAACTGACTTATACTAAGATAGTTAATTTACCTTTAAATTCCCAGCATTGTTCGTCAATTTTTTTCTTTAGCGGGTGCAATTTTTGTTGTAAGCCCTTCGTATAATGTCCTGAGACATTTAATTAATATTTAGCCCTTGCTGAACGTTTCTGTCGCTGCTGCACATTTATTATAGTTGCTGTAGTTTCTGTAACTGCACTGATTAAGTTCCTGTGTAGCTGCTGTAGTAATTGAAGTTGTTGTAGTTCCTATAGTTGCAGCAGTTGTTATAGTTGCTGTAGTTGTGATAGTTCCCGTGTAGTTGTTGTTTAGTAGTTGTTGTACTACTGTAGTTGTTGTATAACAGTTGTTGCAGTTTTAGTAGTTGCTGCAGTCTCTGTATAACATTTCTTGTAGTTTTAGTAGTTGCTGTAGTTGTTGTAGTTATTGTAGTTGCGGTTTTTGTAGTTGTGGTAGTTCCTGTAGTTTCTGCAGTTGAGTGCTGTAGTTGTTGTAGTTATTGTGAGTTGCCTTAGTTGCTGTAATTGTTGTAGTTGCTGTAGTTCTTGTAGTTGCTATAGGTATTATAGTTGCTGTATTTGTTGTAGTTACTGTAGTTGTTGTAGTTATTGTAGTTGGTGCAGTACATAACTATAGTACATACAGTTGGTGTAGTTGTTGTAGTTGCAGTTAGTAGTTCCTGTAATCCATACTGTAGTTCTAACTACTACAACTGCAACAACCACAATAACTACACAAGTACAGTAACTACGATAACTACAGCAGTTACAATAACTACTAAAATCCCAACAACTACAACAACTACACAACTACAGTATAACTAAGTACAGCAACTACAATAACTACTACAACTACAACAGCTACAGTAACTACAATAACTAACAATAACTACTACAACTACATCAACTAGAGTAAGTAACTACAATAAATACAACAACTACAGCAATTCCAATAACTACAAGAACCACAGCAATGACAAAGTACCAACAATACGCCAATTATAATCTTGTAACTGTGAAAACATTGACATAAAAGGCATGGATGTCTCGGGACATTATACACAAGGCTTACATGAATTACCGACCGTAGTTTCTCATCTTTTTACATAAATTCGTTTTTAGTGTGCCTAACACAGCCGCATAATCGCCCTTAGTTCGCCCTTAATTTTTGTCACGCTACGCTGTTTACTTCGAGGCCATTTTGAACAAGTGAAGTCAATTATTATTTAAACTCGCACAGAATAATTATAATTTATACAAATTAGTGCTATAAAATATAAAATCGAGAGATTGTGGAGGGAAAGAGAATTTCAGTTGTGGGTTCATTGTGCAGAGTTTGGGACACCTAAATAGTTCGTGGAACTTGTAACCGAGTAGGTGACCCCAACAAGAATATGAGTGGAAGGAAGATAGATACAAAATAGTTATTTTAAATAAAAAGTATTACTTCATTAGTTAAATAGTAGTTAAGATAATATAATCGTAAAATATTAGGAATCAATAATAGTATTATAACCATCAATCACAGAATTCTTGATATATTGACGAAAACTGGAAAACGGCTTGATTTTCGTAACATCAATAGATAAAGAATTCCAAAGTTTTGGACCAGTGTAACTCAGAGAACGAATGCCGTATTGAGTGGTATGAACAGATTTAACAAACAGATTATCAGTCTGTGATTGGCGTGTATTATTTGAATGAATTGAAGATACTGGGTTAAAATAATTAACAAAACAAGAAGGCGGCTTAGTTTATGGTACCACTGATAAACAAAAGAGAGAATTTCAAGATGAATTATATCAGAGAATTCTGGGAGTCTGAGAGACCTCAGCAATGGCTCAGAATGAGATCTAGGGTCGGAAAAAGTCATTATTCTGACGACTCGTTTTTACAAAGTAGTTACTGGTTTTAGGTAGGTTGGGTATGTCAGACCCCAAACTTGAATACCATAAGTAAGAAAGAGGTAAATAAGGGAATAGTAAAGCATAATAAGTATATCAATTTTAACATAGTAGCTTAATTTGGAAAATATACCTACAGTTTTCGATAGTTTTAAGCAGAGTTCATTAACATGATTTTTCCAAGTCAAGTTTGAGTCAAAAGTGAGACCTAAGTATTTGACCGAGGAAACCTCTTGAATGTTCACACCATCAATTTTTAGATTTAATGACTTATATGGTTTAAGTCTCTTAGAGTAAAAAAGAACAAAATTAGTCTTCAAAATATTGAGAGCTAGTCTATTAGATTTCATCCACTCAACCACTGCATGGAGCTCTTGATTTAGGATTAGTTCAAGATCGTTAAGGTTTTTACTTGAAAAATATATATTAGTGTCATCAGTATATATATATATATTAATGTTACCAGTAAACCGCTGATCTTAATGTTTGTTGTGACAATGACCCGATTATAGCACGGAAAGAGGCGACGAAATGCGAAAATCTTCGTTTGAACTTGTTTAAGTTGGTGATGTGCTCTCAACAATATTTTAGCCTTAGCATCGCGGTAATTTGCATAACACGTCATTTTAACTGTTTGCGGCTGGTTTTCACTAGCGACTGAGTCGTAAGCGGAGTCATAAGCGCGACGGAATCGGAGTCAGAAGAATCAGAACGTTTCCATTTCTTCCGACTCTGCTTACCACTCCGTCGCTTACGTCCCGCTTATGATCTAGTGAAAACCAGATTGTCGGAGTCGGAAGCAGAAGTAGCCTGCGTAGCAGGCGTCGAAAGGGGTAGGGGGTAGGGGATAGGGAGGAAGGGAAGAAGGGGAGGGGGATTGGGGAGAGGGGGAGGGGACGCCTGCTCTAAGAACCCCCTTTTGTTCATATCTGCGGACGCTGGCGTCCGCAAATTCCTGATTGGCTGAGCCGTAATGAGTAACATATTGAAATGCGCGTTTCACAAATCAACAAACAGTCGAGATGGCAGCGGTAGACGTGGATGTCGTAGAGAGTGCTTTGAGAGATGTGAATTTATCTAGTGGTAGAGAAACTGTTTTAGCCAGAGCAAGAATCAGCAGTAAGGGCTCTTTTAGCCGACAGAGATGTTCTGGCGGTTTTGCGGACCGGATACGGCAAGAGTTTAATTTACCAAATGTTTGTACGCGCGAAGAACTACGAGCTGAATGGTAATGCGGCGATTCTCCAGGGGCACCCAACGAGGATATAGTTCAAAACCACTTAACATAGCATTGTTGAACGTATTTTAGTATTCAAACGGTAGATATAGGCATATTTTTATCCCCTAAAAACTTTTCATCTGTTCGGATTTCCTAGCTGAAAGTCTAGTGATCCGAAAATTGTAGGGATAAAAACTTACCTTCTCGAAAATCTTAGCCAGGAAAAGGCTCTCGAAAATTCTAGGTGGCCTTTTTTAGGGTCAGAATCCGTTAAAAATGGGTAATTATACCATTTTGTAGATGTTCGAAAATCCTAGGAGAGGCAGGCAAGCAAGAAATTTTACAACAAATGCTCCGAAAATTCTAGAACTCAAATCGTCTTCCGAACAGATATTTTCGCGAAAATTGCCGTTGGGTGCCCCTGATTCTCATCATTTCGCCACTGAAAAGTATTATCGAAGACCAGTTGCAGGAGATGGAATTGTTGGGCTACCCAGCGAAAGATTTAGCCAATTTATCGAACGATGACATTCGCCGATGTAACTTAGCAATAAAAGAGGGTGGTTTTACCTCATGCCAAAATGCTGCTTATTCCAATAAAGTTGTTTTTATCTGCTGGGTAGATTATGCTCTGGAAGGTTCTGCATTTATACTGAGCAAATGTTATTTTAGCCGCACGTTTCACACTGAGAGGTCATGACATACATATCCATTGACTGTAGTTATTGTTTTCTGGTCGGTAGGATTTGCCCTCTGATGCAAGCGCAATTTCTTTGACCTCTTTTGAAGCGTAAAGCTTTTTTTTATTACGGCTGAATAAGAGTTCCAATTTTCTCCAAAGTGCCTTCTGGATCTGAATAACTAAGCGATTTTCTTTAGTCCGCGAGTGTAATGTTTTTCTGCAATGGCTAGTGTAGCGACACTTGATTGACAGTAAGCGTAATCGGATTACTAGAAAATTGGTAGGCGTTATGCAAAAACATAGGCTCTTAGAGCAGGCGCTCCCTTCCCTTTTCCCTTTCTCCCTCCCCCCTCCCCCTCCCCTTTTTGCGCCTGCCACGCAGGCTAAAGCAGAAGCGGAAGGATAAACCAATCACAATGCACGTTCCTACGCGTTGTGATTGGTTTAGTTCTTCCGCTTCTGCTTCCGGTGAATCCCTGAGCATCAGTCTGTTAGTTGATGGCTTCTATTATAAATACAGACAAATAAATTAGGCATCTTATAAATAGGAACACAAAATGGAAAAATCCGTATTAATATACGAGGTTAACCCTGAGGTTAACATTGACAGCTGGTTTAACATGAAAAACTGCACTGGTACGCTTCCGGATTATTATTGACCGTCATTAGTTGTTTCAGTTTCAAGATCGTTTTGAGGGTGCTAGTATTCATCGAAACGAGCGTAACATCCAGCCCTCATCGAGCGAAAATCACTGTCGAAAATGAACCAATTCGTTCTACCGAAAGTAGAACCTCCCTCATGCAAAACCTCAACCTCCAGTTCGTAATTTACGGTTGAATTTTCACGGCACTTTGTAACAACTCAATGATAGTGTTCTTGGAATACGGTAAATTCTTCCTATCACAGGGCAAAGAGGAGTTATTTGTGAACTTGATTGTTGATTGTAGTTAAAAAGTTACAGTTGATACCGCGCATAGTCAGAGTGCTTTCGAAATTTTCTTGTCTAATGTTAATTTACTTTCTTCAGGCCTTTTCAATTTTATCTGAGGCCAAAGAAGAGGATGCCAGAAAAAGACAGGACTTGCTAAGCTATTACGCTAAAGCCGATGCCCTTTTGAGAAAAATGGATGAACCGATGCTAGCTTTACTTCAGAAGCACACAAAAAATGTAAAAGAGAATATGAAGTGGCATGAAAAACAGCTGAAGCAGACGCAGTACTTTCTTCTTGTTGCAGGTAAAATGATACAAAAGTCACAGTCACCATTTTAGGGTGTGTTATATTGACCGCGTTCATTGCATTGTATCACAGGCGGACCATCCGAACTGTTCGAGGGATCGTGATGTCACGCGCGACACGTGATCCCATACATTAACTGTATTTCGTAACGCCTGCACCCGGCTTGATTCAAGTGATCAGTAGAAATGCTTCATAAAACACAGAATTTTGCACCTTTAGATCCCAAATGTTGATATAACGTGAGAAAAATGAATCAAGATAACTTAACGTTTGTTCTTAGTGTCGTGTTCTGCGATTTTGTGGCGTTTTCAGTCGCTTGAAACTGACACCCCCGTCGGGGGTCAGGAGCACCTCGGCTCAGTTTTGAAAAGACATATCGCGGATTTCTCTGATTTCTTCTAAATTATACAAATTTTACACCACGTTCACACCACGTTCACTGTGTATTTAGAAACTACACTGCTCAAAGGCAGAAGTATGCATGTATGCTCAGGCAAGCAACCTTATCCGAGTGACAGTGCAATTTTTTTAATATGCAGCAGTAGGGTAGCTTTAACAGGAACTACGATATCCTATCCTCTGGGGCCCGGGGGCGGGGGGGTGGGGTTCCTGAAGATTAAAAGGGTCTTGCCGATTCTTTTTAACGCTCTAATAGCGGAGTGGAGTAGAGAGAGGGCAACAATTGGCATTTACAATAAGAACTGATAAACTTGTGGTCTTCCATTAACATAAAATCAGTAAAATTAATGTCATTTGTGGTCTTAGTTAAAAGATATTTAAAATTTCCAATCTCTCTTTGCCTTCCTTAAAAAGCCATCCAATAGATTGGCTACTGCGCTGGTCATTTTGGTCATTTGCAGGTGAAACATCCTCTGGTAAAAGTAGCTTGATCAATCTTATTCTTGGAGAGGACATTCTACCGTGCAGTACTGCCACCACAACGTCCACCATATGTGAACTGAAGTATGGAGAGACACCTACAATGGTGGTGCACTTTAAAGACAAGGATCCTGAAACAGGAGAGACGACTAAAAAAATTCCACTCCACAAACCTAATGATCAAAGTAGTTATCTTGAGCAGATCTCGACTTACGTCCACCAGAAAGGTTCGATGTTGAAAAAGGTTGAGCTTTTCTGGCCTCATGAACTTTTACAGGTGATTATTTTATATTCTGTCTGCAGCGGAATAAGGATCTAGAACGCGAGCGGCTACAAACACTGAGCTGCTAAAATTTCTACGATCAGCACCTGTTATAGAAGAGCGCATTAACCAACCTAAACAATTTCACTGTACGGCCATACCATATACCATGTACCATGCATGCCATGCTAAACTGCTCCACCAATAATAGCGAAGCTCTCTCGCGCGCGCAGCCGAGCACCACGGGTAAGAAAATTTAGTTATCTATGCACCCGAGAAATTTTGGTGCTCACGTGTGCGTCCGCTCCATAGGGAAGCCAATATGAAATGTCACATTTCTAGCTTGAATGGGAACCTGTAAACTATGTTTAACTTGATTTATTTATTTATTTATTTATTTATTATTTTCCCACAATAAAGATTACACAAGCATTACATTATACAAAGATGTGGCGAGGGGACCTCAGAAAACCACAAGGCTTGTACGAGGAGGCCCCCTCGTTACAATAATATTAAGCAATAGAACTATAACAACACACAACAACGGACAGTACAAGACGCATTATCGATATAGTAGAAAATCAAAAACTTTCGTTTTAAACGATTGCAATGTAAAATTCGAAGTGACTGAGTTTGGTAAAGAATTCCAAATTTTAGGGCCTTGGAACAAAATAGAAAATTGTTTGGTGTTAGTTCGGCAGGCATGAGAACGGAAATGCGAGGAACTTCTAGTATTATAATTATGAATATTGCTACTAGTAACAAAAAGGTTCGAAAAAAGCGGTGGCAGTAATTGATGATAATATGAAAACATAAATTGTGCAGTATAGAATGAATTAATGTTGTATATGTCCAAAATCTTTAAACGGAAAAATAATGGTTCAGAGTGCGCGCGAAAATCTGCATTTGTAATAATTCGTACTGCTCGCTTTTGTAGAAGAAAAATTCTATTAAGGTTTGTTACATAAGTGGAGGACCAAACTGTGGTACAATATGTTAAATAAGGATAAATTAAGGTATAATAAAGAGACTTTTTTTTGTTGTTTCAGAAAGAAAGAAACGAGACCTAAAACATGACGCCAATAGATTTTGAAATTTTCTTACATATATAAGTAATATGCGGCTTCCACGTTAGATGCTCGTCGATAAAAACCCTAAAAATTTAACTACCTTTACTTGTTTTAATAAAACCTCATCGTACAAGACAGGATTTATTGGGAAGCCGACTGGTTTTTGCCTTGCTGCAAAAATGATATAATTAGTTTTCGTTATGTTAACAGAGAGCTTATTTGCTTTCATAAAAAGATCAATTTGAGATAAATCATTATTTACGGCAGAAATAGCACAATTTAAATCGGGATTAGAATAAAACACACTAGTATCATCTGCAAAAAGCATAGTTTCAGCAAGACGAGTAGCACAAGGGAGGTCATTGATATACAAAACAAACAATAATGGTCCTAATATAGAACCTTGAGGGACTCCACAGCTCAGAGTCAGCCTAATAGAACAAGTCTCTTTGTACTGGACAAACTGCACGCGATTTGACAAATAGCTTTTCAACCAGCTAAGTGCTAGCCCATGAATCCCATAATGCTCAAGCTTAGACAAGAGTATTTGATGGTCTAAAGTATCAAATGCTTTTGATAAGTCTAAGAATATGCCAACTGTATATTCGCTTCTGTCAATAGCAGTTGCAATTTTATTAATAAGATGAATTAAAGACAGCGCTGTAGAATATTTTTACGAAATCCAAATTGGCAACAATATAAGATATCTAAACGATCTAAAAATTTGTAATACGATTGTGCATAACTCTTTCAAAGAATTTAGAAAAATTAGAAAGAAGCGAAATTGGACGGTAGTTAGTGAAATACTGGGAATCACCAGCTTTAAATACCGGAATCAGTTTAGCAATTTTCAGTTCATCAGGAAATATTCCTTTAATAAGAGACAAATTGATTACATTGGCCAAAGGCTGAGAAATGAGATCAAAGGTGCTTTTTATTATATCCATTGAAACGTTATCATATCCAGGCGACTTTCCAGATTTAAAAGAGTTGCATATTTGATTTAGTTCCGAAATATTAGTTGGATTTAAGATAAGCGACTCATTAACAGAAGCGCCAAGAAAACTACGAAAAGATACTTGTGTGTCTGGAATTTTCCTTGCTAAATTCGGACCTATGTTGGTGAAGAACTTACAAAAGCAGTTAGCTATTTCTTGTGGATCATTTAACAGTTTTCCATCAGAGAAAAAGGAATTTGGCAGAGCTGCTTTTCTGCTCGGTTTGTTGATTACATCATTGATTAGTTTCCAAGTTTCTTTCAGGTTATTTTTAGCCTTCTCAAATTTTGTATCATAGTACTTTCGTTTAGCAATTTTTATAAGATGATTCAGTTTGTTCCGATAGCGTTTGTATTTTAACTCAGTAGTTGAGTCCCTAGAATTAATGAACTGCTTATAGAGTTTATCTTTTTTCCTGATAGAAACAAGCAGAGATTGCGTTATCCAAGGGGAGCGCATTACTTTCTTTGTTTTAAGTTTTATCGTTTTTAATGGAAAGCTTTCATTGTATAATCGAACATACTCACTCACAAAACTATTATAACATTCATTAGTATCGCTTTCATCGAAACGTAAATTCCAATTAACACGAGAAAGAGAGAGCCGAAAATTGCTCTTATTTCTTTCTGAAAAATCTCTTTTAGTGAGATATTTAGTTTGGCTATTTTTCGACGCTATTTCTGTCTCATCCACTTCATAAACAAAAACCGGTAGATGGTCAGAAATATCATTAATAACAATACCATTGAAATGTTTACACCTTACATTATTCGTGAATATATTATCAATAAGTGTGGCCGAATGAGCAGTGATCCGAGTCGGTCTATTGATTAGAGGAATGAACATATGGGAAAATAGACTATCAACAAATTCTTGAGTAGGGGCATGATCGGAATAGTGAAACAGATCTATATTGTAGTCTCCACCCAAATAACAATATTTGTCATTTCTAGTTATTTTAGCAAGAATCTCATTAAATTTGTCCAAAAAGTCCCGAGTGTTATAATTAGGCGGACGATAAACAGTACCAACTATAATATTTTTCCCATTGGGAATGTTAATTTCAACAAAAAGAGTTTCGATCACTTCAGGTTCAGAATAATTACAATCGCGGCATAATTTGTATTCTAAATCGTCAAGTAAATAAATAATAATAGATGACAGAGCGCAAAAACCGCAAGACATGCGCACTAGAGCTCTCGACTCTGTTTCTTGTATTCCCGCCTTTCGATTTTCAAAATGGCGGAGGACTAATCAGAATCGCTGCCAAGCCGCTGTCCTCGCTCTGAGAATTTTTCAACATCGTTAAACGGAATCTGTCAGCATTCAGCCGTGTCTTGGCGACGCTAGCGAAAAGATCGGACTTAAACAGGTTCTCTAAAGCAGCGATGTTTGTGACCAGCTTCGGAGCCTATTTTGAAGCTTGTTGTTTCGAAGAAGGGCAGGTTTTTTGCGTTTCTTAAGGTGGTCGCTTACTCTTTAAGGTCAGGAAAGAGAAATGTTGGAGGTAAATAGTTTCTGTGAAACATATCAAATATGACTTTTTTTTCGTTTCTATGAAAATTTTTTAGAGCTCTTTAAAAGTGGACTATTGTTTCATGACTTAAGAATTACAAGGAAGGCTTGTTCAAGGCGAAATTGGAAGAACTACAAGAATATTTACGTCGTTTACCGCGTTGCTTCGCAATTTTTGTTTCTACTGACAGTGAAAGGAATTCGATTTGCAACTGGTTTTCACGAAAATTAAAATCTAGAACTTTGCTATCTTACCTATAAAAGTGGTTATTTGCAGATTTTTTTTTTTTAAGTAGTAAAGTTCGGGTGATGTACGTTGTGTTTTTCAGGCGCTAAATATAAATACCCCTTGGTGACACTGAATCGTTGTGATTGCTCACGTTGTTTCCTCAGCGAAATCACGGCTATACAGTGCATTCTTCTAGTTTCAAACAGCAGTAAAGGCATTTTTCTCATGACATGTTCTATGTTTAAAAGGGGCCACGAGAACGAAGGAGCCGGTCAAGATTTAGGGATTATGGGGGGTGGGGGGGCTTGCGAAAATTTTTTAAGGTTCTAGAAAATGCCATGTAAATCTGTATTTCTGTTACAAATAAAATAAATCGAAAAATTTAAATTATTATGACAACTTAAAATTGATGGGGGGGAGGGAGGTAAAATTATATTACTATGCGATGAAAGAAAGCAAGTGGGGGTCGTTCCAAAACAATTCTTAAAAAGAAGTTGAAAGAAATCAAAGACCAAAATAAAAGAGTCCACAAGAAACTTGAGGGTGGGTGCTTGTGGTTTAATGGAAAACTAAGTCACAGAGGTGGAACAGGAAGTCATTAATACATATAATAACCTTTTTCATTTCACTGGCCACAATAATGATCTGCTGTTTCTCAAACAATGGAAAAGTGCAGTGATCAGCCATCTCAAAATATGTTGCATGCTCAGTCATTATTTTTAACCCATTTACTCCTGGAAATGTTGCAGAAAATTATTTTTTGAAGCTAATCAAGCTGTTTTCTGGTCACTGCCTGGCTACAAAAAGCCAAAACGCTGTTTGTGAGATGGGAACTTCACCGAGCCTTCTGTTCCAGATGCAATGTATCAGCTTCCAACAGTTGATCATGCTCAGAAAGCAAAATTTTCAAGCTAGTTTTTAGGTTTAAAAGTGACACAGCAGTCTTGATGTTTATTTTTCGCTTCCTCTCCTCCCATTGATAGGAAATGTTTTGGGGAAGCTTGTAGGATCATAGGATTAGATAGAAGGATGTGTAAGTGAGTAGTGGAACAAGATTTCAAGGGGAATGGGTTTATAGTTAAGCATTAAATGTTGTGATGGGTTGGTTACAGTAAGTGACATCGCAAACTTGTTGTGTTCCTATTACTTGGGGAATGCAACCAGTGATAAATTCATTAAAAAGTGTGAAAAATACACAATTGTGGCTACTGTTTTCAGAGCCCAAAATAATAACTGCACTGGTAGATATTTTCACTTCTGAAAGTTTCATTGTATTGACCCCATGACAAAAAAATAACGAAACCAATGAATTTCTCATGGAGTTGCACTGTTCACCATCTTTCAGAGTAGCCTACAGTAGGACCTGCACCGGACCATTAGTTGACAATAATAACTTCAGAGAGATTATGTTCCATGTAGTTACCTGCCCGAGGTTATCACTATTATCCCAACTAAACTCAGCAAACATGCTTTACAAGAAAGTGGAAAGTAAATTGTGTATAAGAGTAATGAGTTTGACTACCCCATGTGCACTAATGTAGGCATTTACTGCATGCTTGACCAAAATATTCTTTGGCCTGCACTGAAAGCCAATATCATGTTAATAAACGTGAAGCTTGTATTTGTTGTAGTTAATTTTTTTAACTCAGGTAATGTATGCTAATAAAGTTGAAACAAAAGAGAAAATAAAAATTACCTGAGATAAAAAATAAACTGCAACATATATGTCAAATATAGCTTCAGGCGGAAGGTATTGAAACTCTTTCCAGAAAAGAAATTTTTGTTCAAAATCTTAGATTTTTCTTTGTAACACCATTAATATTTAACTCATTGACTGGCAAACAGTTTTGTTTATTGAAATCCTCTATTAAGCCCCCAGGGGGGCTTATTTGTTTCAAACACACTTGAGGGGGGGGGAGCTTATTTAATTTAGCAAAGACAATGGTATCAGTTCTCCACAAAGAACTAGAATACATAGTGGAAAAGCCGAGGATCATAAACAAATGTGAACTTCCAGTCGGTGAATGAACCATCCTCGATCGGTCCACACGAAGTTTCACAGTTGTGTTTCACAGTCTACCATTCATTAATTAGCAAAGAATATAAAGGGGAAGGGGAACTTATTTGAGGGGGGGGAGGAGGTTAAAAGAGGATTTACGGTATTTACATCTGATGTTCATTTCATGAATGTGTTTTCATTATGTCATATCTGTTTGAGACAAGGGAGCACATTTAGTTAGTGTAGCATACTTTGAGAAACGAACTTGAAAGCAATGCTTATAATTATGTGCTAAGTAAGTAATATACACATTCCCGGGTGATGTTTGATTGGCAGAAAGACTGTCCAGTGCAAATACAAACTCCTGATAGCAGGTTATCATCATGACAAGCAATCATCTCAGTTCAAAAGGAGACAATATTCAGCACTCTTGTACATCTCAATAATACAAGTCATTGGTCTATCATTGCACAAAAGGAGAAAAGCATTAATTTTATCCCAATGAAATAGAACAACTCTCCAGTGAGCACGATCCTGGCGTGAATGAAGATATATTGTTAAATTCCATTTAGAACAGTGAAAAACAATTTTCATCAATCAAGAAATCTAATTTGAAGAGAATTGGGGTAGTTGCCCTTCTATACAACCTCAGCTCTTTCAAGAAATCAGGTTAATGGTTTCTGTTTCCTACAACAAAAGAAGTGAGAAAATGATTATGGTAGATGTACAGCTTGTTTTATAAGAAATTATTTTTCAAACAAACACTTAGAAGAAAAAAAAGAGAAAAATCTACAATAACAGAACAAAAATAAAAATTAGTACCCACAAATAACAAACAGCAAAAGAAATGAGCTTCATACATGTAGACAATCATCCATATGCTAAAACATTATTTGTAGCATGCTGTAAAATGTCCAACAAACACCTGATAGCAGGTTATCATAATGACAAACAAACAACCTCAAGAGTTTGGATTCTCACCTGTTTGCCTGTGTACGATGAGGACAATGATGATGACCCCGATATGAAACTTTTGGATCTCTACGACTTGAATATGAATCAGAATTAAAAGGAGGCAAAGTGGGACGCTTTAATTTGAAATCACAGCTATGAAAGCTGTTCGACCACACGAAGTTCAGGAAACAAGACGATTCTGGCCAGCCAAACGCATTTTCAAAATATGGACAATCAAAGCTGAAAGCCTTTGAGTACAATCAATAGCAAGTTCCCTGTAGCTGTTCCCGTGGGCAAAGGAGTAATCCGATGTCAGTTTGCTGAAAGCTGAAATATGCTCGAACGATGTGTAATATAAACACTCGATGTTTACATGATACGGTGGACATCCCAAACGGCGCTTTCAGTAACTTCACGCACAGAGTTTTGAAGGCAATTAAACAGTAGGTTGCATAAGTTTCATTCAAGGTTTCTTGCTAAATTTGATTGTTTCTTTTTCTACGAACAGCAGTCTTGTAGGTCCTTGTAGTTTCGCATCTCTCTTTCACACTCTGCCGCCATGCTGATCTTCTTATCGATCTTCATTTAATCGATCTGCAATTTTCTCGGGTTTGCGCAGGCGCAGTTACGCAAAACAGGCCAAATTACGTCATTATCCACTAGCCAATCAGCGGTTTTTGCGCTCTGTCATAATAGATATCTTATCATGGTAAATTGACAGCTGTCAAAACAGGGTGTCCGCTGACCAGCATCACATGAGGTACCAACCCAGGTGCCAATCCATCGAGGTCACGTGTTTTCTGGGGTTTTTCCGCTGAGCAGTTATGAAGCTTTAAATTGATCGCAGGCTCAAGTTTATGTTTTTAGCGGGTCCTCAAAAGTCACATGGTCCTCCACTAAAGTTAAGTACAGATTTGTGGATTTCTTTGCAACGGTTCCAAGTTCGTTCTCCAAAGTAAATTATAAATGCATAAACGGAAGTCTATATAATATATAGATTTAGCCAGGGCTAAAAGCGAGGCTCCCATTAGTAAATTTATAATTTAAATTAAACAATAAACTTGTATTCGAATTCCACAATTCAGTTAACTTTAGAGCACATTTATGTGACTTTTGAGGGAAAGGCTACCTGATTTTAGAGAAAAATAATTTGCAAACAGCCCAAGAGTGAACCAAATCTTACATCGAGTTGATAGCCTCATATGTACACTCAAAAACTGGTAATCATCTTTTATCACATTTAAGAGCCGTAATGGCTATTGATCACCGTAGATCAATTAGGCTTAGAAAAAAAACCAGGCCAACGTTTTGGCGTTCGACAAGTTTACTTTGCAAAATCTTGCCAACAAATCTGGGTGCGTGTAAACCAACCTTTTTTGCCATGGACAGAAAGCAGTATTTCACAATACAAATTGCTCTCATTCAATATTCATAAACTGTTAAAAAAATTTTCCAAAATCACCTATACGGCCATCCGGTTCTCACTTTTGTAGTGCGAGCTGTAGCGAGTGTTTGAATGAACATTAACAGAGTTACGCTCCAAGATAATAAAGAATTTATCATGTTTATTTTTTATTTGATGGTTTAACGCGCGGCATTTTGAGAACTCCTGCAAGCGATGTTCACTGAACGACTGAAAACAATCGGCATAGCGATTAAAATTGCAAGAGAGACTACTAACAATCAATAAAAGAAATATAATTCGGTGAAACATAAACAGAGACAACAATTTTCATTCAGGAAGACAAGTATTAAAGTGTCCCTAAATATCCTGAATCTTCAAGCTTCAAGCTTAAGTTTGCTGAAGTTTATGTTTTAAGCCAGCTTCCCGGTGTTTGTTTTTTCAAAGACGAACTCGAGGCAAGAAAATCGCTCAAAGCTTTCTTTTCCGGCTAGAATTATAACTAAAGATTCTTTGGAACATTTTCTTTCTATTTGCGGTGAGAAACTGTCTAAAGGCTTTTTAAAGTTCTGTAAGATTATATCAAACCAGATACTCGGTGAGATCGTTGTCTCAAATCTTACAAACGCGCATAAACTAAATTCCCGCATAAACTACGCTCCACTTCATTAAATTAGATACAAAAAACAAACATGAAATACAATAATTTCTCTGGCTTACCATTCGAGATGCAGCTCCTGAAAGTTATCAGGTAAAGCCAGTATCGCTTCAGACTTTGCAATCCTCTCACGCATCAAGCAAGGTGAAAACGAAAACGATGCCATCCGAAATCGGATTTCCGACTTTGACAAGCGACGTTTTCTCAACCAAAAACCCAATAAACAAACTAGCCATGAGTAACAGAAGACTCCTGATAGCAGCTGAATTTCATTTTGTACATCCAGTGGAAAAAGACAGTTAAAAACATCACAAGTTGACACAAAACTCTGTCAGCTTCAGCTGTTAAAGTAAACAAGATTCAAAATGCTGCATAAATTTTGCGCATGAACTCACCTGTCAAATTTTGACCAATCAGAGCATAAAAATTGGACGTAGAGCGTGACCAACGCGTGACCATTCTGAGAAAAAACAAAAGCAACTGTCTTCCCTGCCTGTAACAGCTGGCTGAATTTTCACGTCCGAGGTCAGTTTGCAATCAAAATTTTAATTGTGCAGCACATAAACACAACATATTTCATATGAATTAAGAAAAAAAATTGAACTTGAGCCTGCGATCACTTGAAAACTAGTTTACTTATCAGCGGATAACTTCAAAAAATACTTGACCTCGACGGGTCGACACCTGAGCCCGCGATACGGTCAAGTGATACTGGTCAGCGGGTACTCTGTTTTGACAGCTGTCAATTGATCAAAACATTGATGTCCAATATGTGTGCATTATCAGTTTTCCTGTGCTCCCAAACTAGTAAAAGTATGAGATTGAACGTTGTTCGCGATCTAGTAAAACAGTTAACTGGTCAGCGGACAGCTTCCAAATAAATCACGTCACCTCGATGAGTTGACACATGAGCCCGCGATATGGTCATGGGATACTGGTCAGTGGCTATCCTGTTTGGACAGCTGTCAATTGACCATATTGTTAATGTCCTATATTAAAGATGTGGACTTGCCAAGACACGCCTGAGACACCCCTCCCTTCCTTTTGATAGTCTCCCCTACCCCACCCATACAATCTGTAGACGCGTACGTACGTATGTACGTACGTACGTACGTACGTACGCTCGGTCAATCACGTGACAACCAAACGAAAAGAGGTTGACCATATTCCATGGGTATGGGGCTCTGTCCCACGCGCGCTTCGCGCGCGCGGGAGCCCCGCTATAATAAACGGAAATCTATATGCTGAACCAAACCAAAGGTGTTATAGAGGTTCCTGCAGATCACTACGAGGAATTTTATGAAAACTATATTCTCAAGATTTCGTAGAAAATCCTAAAATTACAGGGAAATGGTGAAAATTTTGATTTTTTAGGAACTTATGGGATTTGTTTTGCAATGGTATCCCCTGAATTAGTACCAGTTAAAATAAATTTAATTGTAAAGTTACAGTGAATAAAATAGCCTTAAGCACAGCCATAGGTTGTTTTTGAATGCGGAGAGAAATGTAAAACCGCCCTCTTGCGGGCTAACCCCGAGAAGGTTTCTTGCTCTCAGTAACTTTTGCCCTTCTGTGGTACATTTGTGTTTTACCTTGTTTTTAAGATAAAATTCAATTGTTTTGCAATGATCCATATGCTCTTATCTGAATTACAGAAAGGAATAGTGATCATTGACAGTCCTGGTGTTGGAGAGTCTGACGAAATGGACGAGATGGTGATTAAGTATCTGCCTGAAGCTTTTGCTTTTATATATGTCGCTAACAGTTCAATTGCAGGGGGAGTCAAAAAAGACAGAGTAAGTACCTGGATTATTGTGAGTCCGTTCCGGCAATTTACACGGATCGAAGCTAGGCCTGTCCCGCTTGCGCTCGTAAAGTGCTAGAACGTTGCTTCCTGGAATGCTAAAACGTTGCTAAGAAATTGCCAAAAATCTAAACACTTATGCTACCCAATTTTCTAAAGTTTCTACCTAAATTTCTTGATATTTTTTTAAACAAAAGTGAATTAGAAAGCTCTTTTTTTGTTTTTCGTAATAATTACTCACATCAGTCAAGAAATAAAGTCTAAAACTTACCTTTAAAGAGTTTTTCACTTAATATGGGCGAAATTTAAGGATACCATGCTAAGCGAATTTTAATACGTTGTATGAAAATAAATCTTTTTCTCTATTTTTGAACGAAATGTTTATTAAAGTTCATTCTTTATTAAAGCTTACCTTGTACAGACTGTCTTACAGGCCTCTTAGGATGCCGAGAGCCCGTAAGCGACACTACCACACTATTAATTATTCATACGGCAAAAATTTTAGAAGACGTTGTACGAGAAATATTCTTTGTTCTATTGTTCCATAAATGAGCTAAAATAAAATGTGCATTAAATTCCACTTAATTTCAAGCTTACCTTTTCTGTGTTGTCTTGTGTTTATTTCTGCTGACTGCATTTCAGGCCCGGTTAGGCACGTGTAACTATGCCTTTTCAGCCCTGCGAAATGTCAAGTTGGAAAGGTTATGCGTTCAAAAGGTTGATAAACATTCAAGAAATTCGCGTAGAAACTGAAGTCTTCTATGAAATCGTTGAGTTTTTCATGCTTGATATGTGCTATAAACCTATATTTTGCTCAAATATTGCTCAGAAAGGCAAAAACTTACTCGAGGTTGCTTGAACCGCAACAATTGCTTCAAACGTCAAAAGTTGCCGAGCAAAATCGGGGCAGGCCTAATCGAAGCTAAGAGTATTAACTATTCGATATTAGCGGAAACGGGGCAATTATTCTAGAGAGCAAAAAAAAATAAGGGGGCCATTACAAAGGGAATTTGCTTAAAAACGCACTTGGAGTATGAATCCTGAAAAACTGTTCTTATATTTAACCTAATGAATCAATTCAGAAGGTGGCTCTTTGGTTCCATAGGGTTAGGCTTAGTGATAGCTCTAGAAGCAAATCGTGTTTGGATTCTAGAATCCAGCATTAGATTTTCCGGACGAAGCGAATCCTGAGAATCTTATATTGTATTCTCCAAAACAATAAAAACATCTTAAGTTTTGTTAAACTCAGTCAGTACCGTATTTTCTCTAGAAATAGCCAATTAATTCACTTAGAGCTGGTAATAGCTAAATCAGTGAACAGCAAACGGCTAAGTTGAAGCGTTGCTTTCAAGTTATAGTAAGCAAAAGAAAATGTATATGATACAGGTCTGGATTTATCGATGGTCCGATTGCTGCTGCATGTATACAGTTGAACAAAGCCAACAACAACAAAACAACAACAATATTGTGAGGAATCATGAAATATTATGACAAACCAAAAATTAAATTCAAGATTAAGCGCGTATAGGGATTAAGGGTATCAAGGTTACTTAAAGGTGAAAGTTAACTTACTTTAACCTTTGGTTCAAATGTCCCGGGGGAAATTCTCATATATGAGCGGGGATGGTCGTCGTCTCGTTTAGGGGTGCAAATTAATTGCAGATTTCAGTATCACTTAGGGTGTTCATCATGGAATGCCAATATTTTTACGAGGGCTGTACTCAGCTCCCATTTGGTTGTATGTTTGAAAAAGGTATTCTTAGGGGCCATGTCAAGCCTGAGCCACGCCTAGATCGACCTCCATCTTCGGTGTAACTCCAATTTTCCTTTGAACCTTTCCGCCCATTTCAACGATGCTAATACGGTACAAACTTTCGCGTCCCAAACTGACTCTTACCCTCTTGTTGTGGTCTTTTGCTACGTAATAATGAAACTTCAAGTTATCGTGTCAACGTTAATTTTTACTCGCAGCTTGTAAAACTGCTCCAAAGCGCGAGGGATGTGTCAATCGGGGTGCCAGGAGAAGGAAAGGAGGATGGTGGTTCATCGCTTGATATACAGGAACGTCTGTTATCCAAGTGTGCTTTGTTTGTGTGCAACAAATGGGACTCCGTCCCGGAGAAAGATGTGCGACCCGTTAAGAATGAAGTTATAGAGAAACTCCAAAGGGTCTGGCCTGGTGTTGATCCCGATTCACAGATCATTTACATGTCAACCAAGAAAGCTGGTGATGCTCAAAGAATTGGTGTTATCTCCAAAGAATTTTCCTCTTTAATGGAAGGATTGAGGTCATTGGTCTTGCAGAGTATAGAAGCAAAGCTGGAACTTCATTGGGAGTAAGCTTTATTATGCATGTTTTGTCCACCCTCACTGTGAAACATTTAATGTCACAAAATATTTCAGGGCAAGGAAGAATAGTGTACCATTTTTGTACAGAGGAGTTTCCGTTTAGTGCTCGAACACAAATAAAATATTGGTTTTCAAATCAGAGTAGAGTGTGAAGCGACGACCGGAAATACGTCTGCTGTTCGCAGGCATTATAACACGTGTGTACCAGGTGTAAATTTTCGAATATTTTACAGGATTGATAACACCCGCGGATTCGCACATGCAATTTTTTTGTTGTTGTTGTGAGGGGAAGGGAAGGGGGGGGGTGGGGAATGGGAGAAGAGAGTAGAAGTTATGGTTTGGTAGAGGTTTGACGTTGACTATTTCTGAATTTCGAAAGGTATTTCATGCCACACTTGACACGGCTAGTGCTTAAGCCGTCAACACTTGAAATAGCTGTTCTCTCACAATACCATCTGCACTCGCTTTGTTTCTTCGACTTCTTCGCGCTTCCCTTTCGGTGTCGAAGAAATGTGCATTGCTCTTTGTATAGTGTGCAAACTACAGACCTCTTATACGGTAATTAGGGTGAAGAGAGTTGAATTAGAGATAACAGTCAATATGAGTTCACTTCCTGCAGGCTAAGGTACCAGCTGAAACAACTGAAAAGTAACACCTTCAAAAACTAGCCCGCGTCAAACCGCACCATCCCCTGACGACAACTTTTATGACTGATATGTTTAAACAGATCAAAAACTATTATAAAAAGAATAGTGCGGTAGCAAGAGTAGTTATCTTCTTTTTTTCATGACTTTTTAAGTCTATATCTATCGTGTTGAACCGAAGGATTTTTACAGACACTGAATATGTGTTTTAGCAAGTGACATAAATTCAAATTTGTTGAAATTTTGAGAAAGAACGTAAAAGATAAAGGTTTTGCGAAAATGATTTCTGGCCTAAATTTTTCTGAATCAAGACTGCAATACTTTTTTGTTTTAGATGGCTTTACAAACTTCTTTCGAGGATTTTCATTCAAGCAAAAGTGTTTGTTGTAAACGCCTCAAAGAGCCCCGAGGAAATCAAGGAAAGACTGGGCAAAATTTTTAACCGCTTAGAGGCAATTGAAAATGATCAAGGGAAAGCCAGAAAAGACCTCCGTGAATTGTTCAGCGAACAAGTTAACAGCGTTGTGCATCAACTCTCGCAACATCTCTTGTCAGACGACATAAAGAAACGCTTTACAAAGTGGTCCAAAGAAGAGGCTCCAGATGAGGATGGGTCCTGGAAGGAAGTTGAAGAGAATGTAAACGCCGCTTTGTCCAGACGTTTTCTAGAAATTGTAGATCAGTGGGAAGAGGAAAACAAAGTGTTTTTAGCTACTCGTACTTTCCTCATGGAGCAATTTCAAAATTGCTTTAATATTGTCGAATTCAAATTACAGAATGTTCAAAGCGAAGCCGCAGATGACGGCTCCAGCAATCCAAACAAGGTAGCCTTTAGAATTCAACTTTCATTCTGGCAGAAAGCTTTTTGGAACATGAAGAATATTAGTTTTGGCCTCGGGAGAGTGCTTATTAAAATACGCAATCTCAGCCTAGGAGCAGCGATCAAAAGCGTTAACGATTTGGCTTCAAATGTTGTAAAAATCTTGTACAAAGATTTATTAAAAGACGTGTCTGAAGACATTCTCACTGATAGTATAAAAAAGAATCTTAAACCGTTCGTGGAAGGCAAATTAAGGGATGTTAAGCTCTATCTTGATAGAATGGAAGCTCGCCTGCAAGAGCTTATTGAGGCGGACAGGCGACTTTATGAGCAACTCAGTAAACGATCGGCTCGCTATCAGCCTGTGTTCTATGAGGTAAAACAGCACAGGGATCAACTGGCAGAATTTGGCTTAAGCGAAGTTTGTGCTGTAAAAGTCGATGGCAAGGAACTGGAGTGGAAAGAAGAAGCATCTTCCTGCCTTGGCCGTGGAGCATTTGGTGCCGTTTACCAAGGAACGATGAGAAGAGATGGAGGGGTAACAACAGTAGCATTGAAGGTGTGGAATGAGGCGCTTGATGCCGCAAATGCAAAGGAAATCATGGAGGAGATAAAAAATTTGCGGTAATGATTATACACTCACTAGTCCGGAACATACCTCCACTTTTAAACTTTTTTCTTTAAGTACAGCCACTTGCCTGTCATACGCATGTTCCTTGGCAGTATCATTGATAAATATGTTCAGTTTCCTTGCAGATTTTCCTCGACAAACAGTTGAAATCTATTTTCCGACGCGTGTTATTTTTGTGTATTTTTGCTATCACTTTGAGTCCGTGAAAGTTTAGTAATTCGGCTCTTTTTTCGATTCTTCTACAGCGGCTGTCGGTGATCTCTCGCAACAGTTAGGCTGCCGCGCCACTATCCTACGTGACGTCAGTCGTGGATAATTTTTGTTGATATTCCCGCCATCAGTTATGAGTGACGTCAATGATAAACTACAGTGGAAAATCGATATACCGAAGGGCTAAATAAGTGGCAACATGTGGTATTAATAATAATAATAATAATAATAATAATAATAATAAATTAATTTATTTATAATTATCAATCTTCGTCTTTTCCGTTAATTAGAGTGCTAAACCACCCTCACATTGTGAAGTTTTATGGCATATTACTGGACAAAGGAACTTCAAAAACGGCTTTGGTCATGGAAAAGTGCAAAGGAAACTTAAAGACCCACATCTTTAGTGGTCCAGAGTCAGTTCCTGGCAAATCTGAAAACCCCGCTGTCTTCAAAGACGTATGCCGTTGTGCAAAAGAAATCACCGATGGTTTGGCTTTTATGCATGCGAAGGGAGTTGCACACCGGGACCTCAAGCTGGAAAACATATTGGTACTAATCGTATAACAATAAATGCATAGATAAGTTTCTAGCCTGTGTATAGCCGCCCCCTCCCCTCAGGAAAAAAATTGGAGAAGGGGCGTCTGTGATTCAATGTTGTTCAGAAACATCGTGTATGGCAATAATTTTGCATAAAAGACCTTACAAACCCTTAATGAAGGAAAAGATCCATGATCTTATGCAAGCCTTACCACTAGATACGGAAAGTCATTAGTTTGAAATAAAGTGTCCACAGGTCAGACGCAACTCATTAACCTGTGAGAGAGCCTGTTCACAGGCTACAAATCATAAGCTCGTGATAGTGTGAAACGTGACCTTAACGTTTGGTTGAGCAACAGAGGTTTTCCTCCTTTACTCTCTCACGGGCACCCAGCGACGTTTTTCTGTAAAATAATTATTCGAAGGAGAAAATATTGCCTAGAAATTTCTAAAGCTTGAGAAAAGCTAAAGATTTCTGGATAACCGCTCCATACGTCTAAAATATTCGGAGGTTTTGTAATAGCTTGACTACGATTTTCGGAGGTTGTGTTATTCACGTTTTAATACCAAAGTATTGCGATTAATGTTAAAAAAGGTCTCCTAAAACTTTCGGTATAAAGACAACACGTCCCCTATAATACGGGTTGCACAGGTGAAAATTCGTCCTTTAAAAATTTGTCCGGACGCGTGTAAACCAGACTCGTACCCAGTCGCTATTTAAGTGTTTTTTGGGGTGAGAGAAGATTGGGGATTAGGTTGAGACGCGCACGGGGTAATCCCCCCAATCTTCTCTCACCCCAAAAAACACTTAAATAGCGACTGGGTACGAGTCTGCATGTAAACGGCGTCTCAGAGAAATAAAGAAACAAGTATAGTTAGTGCGTTCTTCTAAAAGTTTATATTCCTTGTCCCATTAAAGCTGACTGACGAAAAGACAGTGAAGATTGCAGACGTAGGCCTGGCTAAAGCAGAAATAGACATCACCGGCACCTTAGCGGGAACACCTGTTTATATGGCACCGGAAGTGTTTCATTCCCAAGTGTACAACACCAAGGCAGACATCTACAGCCTGGGGCTGTTAATGTGGGAGATGTGGTACGGACAGAGGGTCTTTGTTAACGTTGCAGCAACAACACTTCAAGATTACTTTGATTGGGTCGATAAAGGAAACCGTCCAGTGGACAGACAGGGCTGCAAGAAGCCTCCATCCTTCTGGTGCAAGCTGATGACAGAGTGTTGGGGCAGTAATCCAGCGAAACGCCCCACAGCCAGAGAATGTAACCAAAGAATAGTCGGGGTCTGATACTAATGCCTGAGCCGTTGTAGGATAAAGTGATAAGCTAGCTTTTGTCAGAGCTTTGTGACAAAATTCAAGAAGCGACAAAAGAAGGATTCAGAAATTCGTAAGAGGCCAGGTTTCTCTTCTGTCAATCTCAGAAGAGGCAGGCACTCATAGACCCATAGAAATTCGATAAATTTTAATGCATGTAACCGACGCTATGAACATGGTAACGCATTATATTCAGAACTCGGAAAAAAGATAGTTGTAGTTAGCAATTTATCTACTATTACAAGCTACTCTTGTACAGTGTCAACAAGAGCTTTATTCTCGCTTGTAATCAAATCTCGAATTGTTTTAACAATTACACTTTTTGTTAACAGTACTTTCAGGAAAGCAATAGATAGCAACAGAATGAAGCTCCTGATGATAATTTTTTTCATTTACTTTTTGAAACATGGCTCCAAGAAATCAATGAGTTGTCGAAGTAATCAGTGGAAACTATAAATATAGGTTGCTGTTAGTCTAGTTGGGTGTTTTGAAATCTTTCATAATCGTTTCCACTAGAAAAAAACAGACACTAACAGGGCAAACAAATAAAAACAAGCATACTTTGATGGCTAGGGAAAATTTACGTTGAGGCTGATAGCCTTCAACTTTCCAATAGTTAACTACCAAGAAAAACGTTATAGCTATAGAACATGCAGAGTTTGTTAACATGGCGTATTTGTAACGCTGTGAGAGTTGACTTGACTTTTGTGTCAGCATCAGGATTATTGATGCGGGGCCAGCACAGTCCCGCGGTAAATTGTGATAATTTTGTTTAGGTTTTTTTTTTCAGATTGTTTTTCATGTTTCTTTTCCTTTTAGAAAAGTGCAAGAATTAAAAGCACAATTTGGCTTGATCGCATAAAATTTTAGTTTTTGGTAGCTTCTCCAAAGAATTTAAAAAGGTTCTTGTGAAATATTGACCTAAAGCGAAAGTTTTTGTCTTATCCTTTTTCTGACAGTTGTTCATTAATGAAAATAAGCTAAGTAGTATAAAGACAATTACAAAAGTAGAGTAGTAAAAGTAGATGAGTGTTTTTTCAAAGACGACGAACAGGAGGACAATGGAGGCTCCTGTGACACATTATTTGTTTCCTATTTTTAGAGCAATAACAAGGCCTCTTGTTTTCAATCAATCCAGCTCTACATTGATTTCCGTGATTTTGCAATAACTGATTAGCGAGGCAATAAATTTTGAATGGAATCTTCTGTTCCAGATTACATTTATTAACTATTTTTTAACTATTCGTTTATGAACTTGAAACTGATGGGTAAGACACCGAAGCAGCCCTAGAACAAGTCACTGATGTTGATGATACCCACCCCAGGAAATCTAATGTTGACGACACCCAACCCAAAGAATCTGATTTTGGGGACACCCATACCGGGGAATCTGCTGTTGGCGATACCTACCTCTGGGATTCCGATGTTGACGACCTCCACTCCTGGGACTGATCTGATGTTGACGATACCCACCCTGGGGATATGTTAACGTCACCCACCCCAGGGAATCTGATGTTGACGCCCACCCCGGGGAAACCGATGTTAACGTCACCCCAGGGAATCTGATGTTGACGCCGAATCCCAAACATCCAGCGTTCAAGGAACTTTCCCATAAACAGTGTCCAACCCGGTGAATTGTGCTGAATTGAGTGAATTAACTTTTTGCCAATATTCTGCAAAGAACCTCTGATATAACCGAAAAAAACCCGAATTGAAATTAAAAGGAGAACATGTATGCAGCGAGAAAAAGGTTGTGTTTGCAGCGTTATTCACATTCACCGCAGAAAATAGGTCAGGCGAACGCAGTTGGCATCCAGCGAACTTTGTTTACTGGCCACTAACCGACGTCGAACCAAAATTGAACCCGGATCGAACAACAAAAATGACTAAATAAAACAAATAAATAATTAACTTTCAACCCAAAATGTCTGTACATTTTACAAAAATAACTTGGAAAACAAACTTTTTTTTGCATATTTATTTATAAACCAATCTGTAGCAAAGGAAATTCGTATATCTTATTTTCTATTTTACTATTAATGATAACACTAATCACAGTGAAAGTGATGCGTTCTTAACCACCTCGGGAAAACAAGACAGCCATTTCTCTCACGAAAAGGAATCACACAGTGGCATGTTAGACCAATTTTGATACATTATATATCATACTTGACTTGCAGGAATAACAAAAAAAAGTCCTATTCGTAATGGTAACAGGACTGAGTGGAGTCCAATTCGGTCTGTAATCATACGAGTGATTAACAAAATCGGACGACCGCGTAACGGGAGTCCGATTTGTTTAATCATGAGTATGATTACAGACCGAATTGGACGACACGAAGTTCTGTTACCAATTAATCACAACTTTAACAAAATTGTGATATAATAGGCTATTTTTTAAATCAAAACACAAGAAATTCGAAATTTTGTTTTGCTAGCAGTGAAAAAAAGCAATTTAAGCGCGCGCGTGATGGCGCGTACTGTCCAATTACTCAGGCATGACGCGTACTGTTCTATTAAACTGTCCAATTAAGGCTGAAATCAGGGCAGTTGATAGCCAATCAGATTTGACAATTTTGTTATAGTGATGATCAATCCCTTAACCTCCACTGAGGGAAGTGATTTCTTGTGTTTCATTTTCCCCAAGCCTTGGAGCCAAGTACGAATGTTCATTTGTCGTAATTGGTCTAATTAACACTCAACTAACACAATAACGTTAAGCTTAATTTGACTATTAAATAGGTTTCAAAAAAAAAAAACATCACTGAGCTATAACAGAAAGCTACAACTATAATTGGAGGCAAAACAGCTAATACGAAATATGTTTTCTGCTTGACATTTGAACAGGAAAGTACGTTTTTAAATGGCGGGTTTCTTTTTAGGCTGAAAAGGAACACGCAACTACTGGCAATGGAATGTGCTTAATAATAAAGCATGCTTAATTGATAAATTTGTAAATTTATTAGAGTTTGTCTGTACATAGATTTGCGACTCACATCAGGTTGAAATAAGATGCATGTTCAGCAAATAAGTTTGGGACTACTGCTTCTCGAACTACACCACGTGTTTTTGTGTTTTATGACCTAATCACATTTTCAATGGCGGAATCCAGGGAGGACATTCCAATCATAAACTCTACAAGTCTATGGAATATTTCACCTCACAATTCCCATTTCAGCCTAGGATTAGACCCCTTTAACAGAAACGTTTTACACAACAAAACATCAATTTTCCTAGGTATTGATGTCTAAAGATGTACATCTCTTTAAATATATATAAGCAAGGAATTATATTTACCTATTTCGTATTTACAGCTTAGTTTTAATATGTACAATTCAGAAATTCAAGCTTTATAACTGCCCAATATAGGTACTCCAAATCACAGGGGCGATCGTATTATATAATATAAATTGTTTATCGACTGACAACCAAGCATATTAACACAGACTTAATTCATTAACAATAGCTTAACTGTGATCCACGTTAAGGTTTTCTCAGACATAATTTGTGATAGGAGACTTTAAAAAAAAATTTATAAGTAACATTGTCGCTGAAAACACGCCTTATCAGGTTGACGAAAGGTGCTTTCAGCCAACATTTTTATTACAATTAATCAGTACTTCAAGTAAGAGTTTTTTTTCTCAGCATAAAGCGTAGAAACAAAGAAAGGGCGTGACCCACTCCACAAAATATCCAATTTTGAAACTTCCAAAGCTCTATGCATGAAATGGAACAGTTTTTTTCTGGTGTTATTTTTCCAAAAATTCCTGGAATTTTCCGCTGAACCCAATTATGTTGTGGGGAATTTTGGTTCAAAGTTTCGCTTTCAAAATTTAACCGATTTCAGTTTTTCTAAAAACCTTTCACGACTTGGTTTTGGTTTTCAAACTTGCCAGAATTTTTGGTGGAATGGATCGCGGACAAGGAATAAAGGACTAACAGCATAAATGGTGCAAAATAACATAACTGGCTGATTAACACTCATTTACTAGATATACTGGAATACGAAAAAAGTGTGTTAAGCGTGAATAAATTGCAAAAAATGGAGCTGATGATCTCGATGACCAACTCAAATACACACGGTGTAGACGATTGTGCTAGCGCATAAAACTCCAACTAAAAATTTGTTGGAGTTAATTTCGACCCAGCATATCTAATCATTGGAACAGCCAGACATCGCAACGGGACAACCAGCCTAAGAAAACAGCTGGCATTCTGCGACGTCAGCACTGGTTTTTCCGCGAAATGTCGTCTGAGGAAACAGCGCGAAAATATTCAGTACGGATGACGCGTCACTACCCAGACGATTCTGATTGGTCGAAGCGAATTTCCCTCGCAGCACGACCAATCAGAAGCACTGCTAAGATCTCTCTTTTCTTAATTTGAGTTTCAAAAGAAGACGTGAAACTAGAGCCAACGACGTTTTGTCTTGTGAATACAATAGACAAATTAAGGTATTCGTCCATTTTACCAGGAAATCTCAATTTTAATTTGTTTGCTTGTTTTTTTTTTTCTCATAATTTTAACAAAGTTGAACAAATCAGAAAACTAGGTAAGACCAGACTCGATAAGACTGAAGTTGTCTTGGCTTGCGTGGACCTATTATTTTCAGAGAGAGAATTGGCCAACGGCAACGCGGCAGGAACTTTTGGCTTCGAAAAGCTATAATGAAGAAAAGATGCGATTTCTGTCATCAAACTTGCGCCATAGGTTTGATTTGATTTTGTAGACTATTTCTTTAGAAATTAGTTTCTGTGTAAAAATTTGGTTGTAAATATAAAAGCGACTGTTTTTTTATGTCTTATCTTAAATTCCGCTTTGTTTTAATTTAGTCCTCAAGGCACTACCAAGTTTCGGGAGGGTAACAAATCCACTCGTGCATCAACGTAAAATAGGCATTTAAAAGACGCAGTAAACTAGCGCGACATAATAAAAAATTATTTTCGCGCCGCTTAAATAATAGTCTGCTAAACAGCCGTTTTCAGTGGAAGGAGCGTTGCGTGACGAAACTAAAACGGCTGTGTAGCAGACTACTTTAAGACACTTAAAAATAATTGTAGGCCGTAATACTTCTGATGACGCTAAATCGGTCGCCGTAACTTCATAGCGCGAATGTTTGTTTAAATCGTTCTAAAACAGACGGCAACCACAAGAAAGACAACAGGATGATTACGGAATTTGGACAATAAGACTGAAGCATAAGCGATGTAATATTTCAAGAAGAACAAATTTACATACGTTATTTTAATACCGGTTTCGCTTTTTGTGTTATTGCCGGCCGGATCAATTAAGCAACACTGAAACCGTTTTGGAGAAAGTGACCTAAGTCCGAAAGATCACTGTTTCTGAGAAAATTGCAAATGTGTTTTAAATTAAGGAAGAACTTTGATTTTGCAATGTTAATTAAGTTCTACCCATAAATCCAGTAGGTCCCTCCGTTCACTGTTTATACTTTTCAAGCGACAAACTTTTTCTTTCTCGATATTACCAAAAGAGGGTGCCGTTCATAATCATTTACGGTTCCTTTTTGTAGAGGAAATTCATTTAGCTTATAGATAACACGCCTTGCGTGCTTTTGCGCACACTTAAAGCGTGTTGTGCTTTTTCGCACGGAGCTTTTGTTTGAAAACTTTAACACGCCCTTTTGTTCGACTTGCTCACGCTTAATTGTCTCAAGCGTGTCCTCTGAAACAAAAGAAATTGCTAATGAGGCAAGATTGCAAGCGTGCTAAAGCGTGTTAAAATAAATTCTTTTGTTTTAAAGTGAAAGCGTGTCGTGCGCGTGCTTTCACCTTTAGCATTAAAATCCTGTGGAGGGTCACATATATCTTTATCTTCTGATTTAGTTGACAAATTTTTACCCTGAAATTTTCCTTGTTTGTGCTAATAAAAAACTATACTAGACGCAAAGGGAACAAATTATTAAAGAGGATAAATGGCTTGCCTCTTATATGAACTTTGTGCAACTAAAGGATAAATAATAAATAATGCGATTATATTCTTAGGGCCTGTTTACATGGAGTGGGGGACCCCGGTCTAGTGGGGTTGGTTTCTTTTGTTTTCACGCTCTGGGGGACACAAAACAAAAGAAACCTACCCCACTAAACCGGGGTCCCCCACTCCATGTAAACAGGGTCTAATACCTAATTCCTGCACTCTTAGGTCGCATAATAATATCCACACTCTCTATAAAATTAAACCACTCTGTTTAATGCAAATTACGTACTAAATAAATGTACATATACTGAGTTAGAAAAAATTATTGTATTTCGAACATACAGCCCGCTGATGCCCTAATTTGTTAATGACAGAAATTTGAAAATAAAAGTACTTCCGTTCAATCCATTTTATTGGGACACTGGAACTACGAAAAAATAATTTGCGTCACAATCATTTTTGTATAACTTACAGATCATGCAAGCTTTTAACGGTGAGAGGTAACAGTTGATTGATTTTTTTTTGGTTCAATAATTACTTTCCTTTAATAGTTTCGTAATTTACATTCTAATAACACATAACCAACAAAGGAAAATAATTCTTGAACCAAGAAAATAAACATAGCAAAGAACCACAAAATGAGCAATTTGAAGCTTCTGTTACGCAATTCGTCAGCGATAATGGTCACTTATTGGAGGCCTCAAAAATAGCCTCACATTTCAAATGACAACGACTTCTCGATTTGCACTCATCCGTTTTGTCGATAACCCGCTGAACTCATCCAGCATCGTGTTATCGCTAATACAGATTAAGTGCCTGTATTTTATGAAACCTATACTATTTTCTGTCGAGCATTTGATAACGTGAATAAATTAAATTAAATAATTTAATTTCACTTCACATATTCACAATGTGATAAATTAGGCTTTTAACTGGTTAGTTTCATAACTTAAGCAATGGAACTTATACGTTACCACGAACTCCTTTGGTAGTGGAGGTTCAACTCATTTCAATCAAGATTTCTTGACTGACAAAATGTCTTGAGATTGGAAGGAAAGACGTACATCTCCTACCCGCACTGAATTATCTTGTGCTGCACCCCCCTGAAAAGAAGGGTCTTGAAGTGGGGACCGGGGGAGGCCACTTCAGACGGTGATGGTCTAGACAATTGAAATCCTTCAAAATAAAGGAAATTTCTTTCACCCACGTTGATCGCGTAGAAAAGACCACAATTTTTAGAGACCATGCTGTCATGTTATACGATGCCACCGTCAGACACAGGAATAACTGGTCTCCTCTCATCATCATCCTCATCATATTCTTCAGTTTTCTGATCATCATAGTTGATGTTATCAAAGTCTCTGTTAATATTTCCTTTAAATATAACCGCCCTCTTGCTTTGCTTGTTGTTTACCATCATTGGTTTGTCGTTTGTTGGTTCATTATCAACGGTGTATACAATTCTGAAATCAAATTTGAAAACGTATTAGATAAGTGTCATGGAAAAATTTGAAGAACTTGCTGTTTCCTTTTTCTTTTCTTTTCTTTTTTTATTTTGGTTACTAAGATCAAATGAAAACTACTGTGCAGTACTTTCCTGTGCCAATGCTTTTTTAGCCCCTGAGTGAAAACCAAAAGAAACTTTGTGACAATTCAAATGAAAGCTAATGAGCAATATACTGCATTTCCCGAGATACTCAGCTTTTTTGGCAGCAGTACAAAGTGGGTTCTAGGTTGTGAGTCTGCATGTATCGGATGGAATCCCTAAAGTTTGAAAGGAAGAGCTCTGTGAGCAGCGACATTCTCCACGGATCCAAATTTCCCAATAGTTATTGATTCGAGGTAGTGCCGAATATATGAAAATCATAAATGTGAACTGTGGAGTGAAGAATTATTTGAAGGAAGATCATCGCAGTTATATACGCAACTTTTAATTTGCGGTTGCGAAAAGAAAACCAAAAAAAAAATCCAAGCTTGTACGGGATTCATTTTCATGTCACTTAAAGCTAAAAAGAGCACATGGCTTTAGCGATCCACCCGCGAAATTTCAGAAAAAAGGGAATTGTCAAAAAAGTCTGTTGTATTACATGTCAGGAAATTATGACAGGCTTTAATGAAGAGCAAGTTGTTTAGTTCTTTCCTAAAAAGTTAATTAATTTTTCGAGGTTAACACGAGACTAGATGCCTTTCAGTCTGGTGGACGCACGTGCATAATTCGACAGAGAAGCAAGTGTCATGGCACAAGTCATATCATCCATAATTCCCTCAGTATGTCTAAGCTGGACAAACAAAAAACAAACAAAAAATAGTCTGGCTGGTCTCATAAACGAAAATAGAAACGGGCCCAGGCTTCAAAAAACGGCACAGTTTGGTGTTGCTAGGGTGGCCAACTTTATGAAGCCTCTACATTTGGTACTGATGCATCCATGTCCAAAAATAACGACAGTTTATCAAGTCGTCACTTGAGACTCAAGTGGTACGAGATTGTACGAATGAAAAACAATGTCTACCAACAACAACAACAACATAAGCTTTATTTGCATGACTATAATTATGTCGTTACAGTATTGCAAAAGCTTTAAAAATAAAAACAAACAAACAAACAAATAAATCATAACAATGATAATGCAATGTAGTGGTTCAAGTGACGAGACAATGGTAATACAATAGTTCATGCTGCTGATACTGTAGAAAGGGGACGGGCTAACTTTAAATCACAGGAGCCGTGAAACGGGCAATAAATAGCATACCTACATCGTAAACACTCTTATTCTTCGGCCATTTCAACTTCAGTAAAAATAAAAGAAAAACTGCGGTAACATGAAACACTGATGAAACAACGCATGTTGCAAAAAACTAGAATTTTGCAGACTAGAATTTTCGAATGTAACAATGACATACATCTTCAGAAGTGACGGTTGGGACTAGCTACGATACTACTTCCACAGTTCAATCAAGTCTGCATAGCAGCCAGAGGAGCCATATTGCGGTATAACCCGAATATTAGATTGCGGTTGTTTCACGCGGAAGTCTAGTTTCGTGACTTTTTTGTGTTCGTTTTTGTCACCATCTCTAATTATTTCAATCACCTTTAAAACACCCCTACCAACGAAATATTTTGTAAAACTCTTTAGAATTAAATTCAGCGATAAAAAACAAGGTGTGGCCAGGAGCCGATTACTAGGCTTGTTGTGCGGCACCATAAGCATGTGCTTAAGTGAATACAAAGTTTCACAGTATATGTAATCTGTTTGAGTGGTCAAAGTTAGCCTCTTTTCTTTATCATAACCATCCCATAATTATAAGACACCAGGCCATCTGTTTTAATTCTCAAGTTATTTACCCCGTGGCTTTTTGAGGTATTTTATTATTGCAGATTATTGGATTGACAAAAGAGTTAGTCAATATCGAAGAGAGATTGTCGTATAATGGTAAACCTGCCAGACTGGAACGATCTCTTGAACATTAAATGAATACTCGACAATTATACAAGGAAGGCACTCCAAAACAGCTGCAGAAGTCTTTTGTAGGTCGTTTATAAACTGGTACTGAAAATTTTGATTTATTTTGTTGACTACGACAATATGTTGTTGTTGAGTTTTTGATTGCGCTCTATTTTTATGAATGCCATGATGCGTTTTTACTTCAAAACTACCAGTAAAATTGTCTTAACACTTTTATTCTTGAAGAAGAAATTGAGGGAACTTGATCTAGCAAAACCAGAGAAGAACCGTTTCGTAAATTCTATCAAAACATCCCTTATCCAAACCCAATTCGCTTGTAAACGTCTCTTTAATCGAAGCCTTGCATGTCGACTAGGAGTAGCCCCCATTTTCCCTCAGGGATAGTAGAGCGAGCGAAACGCGAGCGCGCGTGAAAATCACCCCACGCGAGAATGGGGTTCCCATTGTAATGTATCTAAATTAAACGTCTATTACAAAATCCCACGTTCTTTCACCTTATTTAGCCTAAGAAAATGCATGCAGTTACATCATTTTATATCGTACATAAACTCGGACTTTGTCTACATTATTGTGAAATCTAATGTCACGAAATCTAACTTTTGCGCTACAAATGTCAATTTCTAATTAATATTCAATCACAGAATAATCAAGTTAAGTATCACCTATTTCTTTCCCCGACACATTCCACAGAAGTTTGACAGTAATCCTATATATCTTTTCTAGGAATTTGTAACTTCCCTCGATGTTTCAAGCATACATTGCCATGGACTTTGCACTATTATAAGAGGTAACACTGGTATATTTCTTCGCGTGTCTCAAAATCGGCTGGAAGGTTATGCAAAATGGCCTCTGACAAATCGAAAAGCATCGATAGCATGGGAGTTGAGGAGATTTTTGCAACGATGAGGACCCTTGGTGTATCTTTCGACGGAGTGAACACGATTGACGACATGAGGACTCGAGTAAAGGCAGCATTAAATCGGGCAGAAAAGACGTCGAGCTGGTCAGCAGGACAAGTACGGTATTTATTCCTGTCAGTAAAATTTCGAGACAATTTTGGCTGGTATTTACTTAATAGCTTACATAAGCGTCGTTAGTGATTGCTTATGAATCCATGCGAGAAAAAGGAGTTGAAGGTTATTGCTCAAAAGGAAAGACAATAGACTACATATTCATAATAGTTTTAATTTCATTTCAATTGTTTATTTTATGTACTGATCCCACAAGATCCTCAGCTTTTCCTTTCTTAAGCGAAAGAAACCTTCTATATATTTTTCCGGTCTATCATTAGCAAGCGAGAAATGTGGCTCCAGAGGCGGAAAATTATTTACAGTATCTAGAATGTGAAACCGAAAGTCTTCCGCAACTGACGCTCCCATCTCACCGATCACGTGACAAAACGTCAATGGCCCGGAACAAGATAACAAAGTGAAACGGTATTAGATCTGCTTTAAACCCGTTCGTTTCAAAAATTTATTTCTCAAATAACAAAAAAAATCCCCAAAATATAAAGTACACAAGTCTATCAAGAGAGACCTGAGCTTTCAGAAAATTGATATCCGAAGGAAGCGTAACGTTTGAATTTCGGATTTATATCGCAGGCTTAAAAAATCAAGAATTGCATACTCTATAACTAGCTAGGAATAAAAAGCAAATTGAAACTGACTTATACTAAGATAGTTAATTTACCTTTAAATTCCCAGCATTGTTCGTCAATTTTTTTCTTTAGCGGGTGGAATTTTTGTTGTAAGCCCTTCGTATAATGTCCTGAGACATTTAATTAATATTTAGGGGCGTCTGGAAAAGCGGGAAACCGGAATCCGGAATCCGGAATAGGAACGGGAATAGGAACAGGAACAGGAACAGGAACAGGAACTGGAACCGGAGAAGGAACCGGAATGGGAAGAAAAACCTATATAAAAACAGGGACAACATTTACTTTAATTGAAGTTAATCTGAATTTAATTCCAGTCCAGATATACGAATGTTAAGGGAGAATATGGAATAGTAACCGGAATAGGAAGGGGAATATAAACAGTGTATAGAAATATGAAATGAAAAAGATATAATCGTGATATAAATAAAAAGCCAGGGAAATAATTATAAGGAAACAAGAAAACACCCCTGAAATGTTAATCTAATAAACCTTTCTTTATCTTTAGCCTATGACACATTAGGGCCATTTATACGAGGAAAAATAAGACCAGTCTTACATAAGACGCGTCTTAAATAAGACGTGAACTGTACCATTTATACGAGCATGTCTTATCTAATACTGAGACGCGTCTTAGCTAAGCCGCGTCTTATTTTGGACGAAATGTGCCGTTTATACGGAAAGTTCGCGTCTTGTTTAGGACGCGTCTTATTTTTCCTCGTATAAATGGCCCTATTGTGTTTTCGTGTCAAACATAGCGAACTTAAGCAACGAGAACGCTGACCGTCGCTTGATGGAACGCTTCTGTCTCACACAACAAATCTGAATTCTTCCTCTTACCTTCCACTGTGCGAATTTGTTGAGTCAGAGGACTGAAAGACAGAAAACATCCACTTCCAGTTTCCATTTTTAATGTCCTGGACGTCAACGTTGTGGTTGCTTATTAAGGTCCCTATTGCACTCGGTTGAGGTAGATGAAGTGCTGGCTGGGATGGGGATGGGGGGGGGGGGGGGGGGGAGGCACGTCTTAATACCCTTTTTAAGCTGTGGACTATCTATCTCTGGTTAACTTCCGAATTTAGCACAGTACAATATATCTATGCAGCAAACCTGAGGTGTATGGCAGCCCAATAAACATCTCCGATGGGTGTCTCGTTTACACATGGTCTGACAAATAATATTAACATGTGATAACCTCCTTCCTGCGAGGGACAAAAGGAACCTTATGAGATCTGACAACGGCAACGCCAGCGAAAACGCCACTGAAAAATTGAATTCGGGTCTTAATTCAAACTATTTCTCATTAATTCAAAATTGTCCAGTGTTTTAAAGGTTGGGAAATGAAGCTGGAGACCGCGTCCGAGCTCAGAAAGAGACAATAAAATTTATCGCCTGCTGTTCACGTTCTCAAGAGAACTTAAGATTTGACCATTTACGTCGTAGTTGTGCATAGACGGTGAAGAAATTGACAGAAAGCGCGATGCACTCGCAAAGCTGTTGCTTTATTTATTTATATTGCGGCTTTTTCTACCTTCTTGTTGCCGTAATGTAAAGAGATTCGGGGGGAGCATGATACCAGACTAGTTTTGTTATTTTTTGTATAAATTTAATTAGAATTAAAATAATTTAAAGTAAATGATGTCTCTGTTCTTGGATCGGTTCCCCTTTACATTACTGTTCCTGTTCCGTTGCCGTTGCCGTTTCCGGTTCCGGTTCCGGTTCCGGTTCCGGTTCCTGTTCCCATTCCCGTTCCTATTCCGGAATCCGGTTTCCGGCTTTTCCAGACGCCCAATATTTAGCCCTTGCTGAACGTTTCTGTCGCTGCTGCACATTTATTATAGTTGCTGTAGTTTCTGTAACTGCACTGATTAAGTTCCTGTGTAGCTGCTGTAGTAATTGAAGTTGTTGTAGTTCCTATAGTTGCAGCAGTTGTTATAGTTGCTGTAGTTGTGATAGTTCCCGTGTAGTTGTTGTTTAGTAGTTGTTGTACTACTGTAGTTGTTGTATAACAGTTGTTGCAGTTTTAGTAGTTGCTGCAGTCTCTGTATAACATTTCTTGTAGTTTTAGTAGTTGCTGTAGTTGTTGTAGTTATTGTAGTTGCGGTTTTTGTAGTTGTGGTAGTTCCTGTAGTCTCTGCAGTTGAGTGCTGTAGTTGTTGTAGTTATTGTGAGTTGCCTTAGTTGCTGTAATTGTTGTAGTTGCTGTAGTTCTTGTAGTTGCTATAGGTATTATAGTTGCTGTATTTGTTGTAGTTACTGTAGTTGTTGTAGTTATTGTAGTTGGTGCAGTACATAACTATAGTACATACAGTTGGTGTAGTTGTTGTAGTTGCAGTTAGTAGTTCCTGTAATCCATGCTGTAGTTCTAACTACTACAACTGCAACAACCACAATAACTACACAAGTACAGTAACTACGATAACTACAGCAGTTACAATAACTACTAAAATCCCAACAACTACAACAACTACACAACTACAGTATAACTAAGTACAGCAACTACAATAACTACTACAACTACAACAGCTACAGTAACTACAATAACTAACAATAACTACTACAACTACATCAACTAGAGTAAGTAACTACAATAAATACAACAACTACAGCAATTCCAATAACTACAAGAACCACAGCAATGACAAAGTATGGACATAAAAGGCATGGATGTCTCGGGACATTATACACAAGGCTTACATGAATTACCGACCGTAGTTTCTCATCTTTTTACATAAATTCGTTTTTAGTGTGCCTAACACAGCCGCATAATCGCCCTTAGTTCGCCCTTAATTTTTGTCACGCGCTACGCTGTTTACTTCGAGGCCATTTTGAACAAGTCAAGTCAATTATTATTTAAACTCGCACAGAATAATTATAATTTATACAAATTAGTGCTTTAAAATGTAAAATCGAGAGATTGTGGAGGGAAAGAGAATTTCAGTTGTGGGTTCATTGTGCAGAGTTTGGGACACCTAAATAGTTCGTGGAACTTGTAACCGAGTAGGTGACCCCAACAAGAATATGAGTAGAAGGAAGATAGATACAAAATAATTATTTTAAATAAAAAGTATTACTTCATTAGTTAAATAGTAGTTAAGATAATATAATCGTAAAATATTAGGAATCAATAATAGTATTATAACCATCAATCACAGAATTCTTGATATATTGACGAAAACTGGAAAACGGCTTGATTTTCGTAACATCAATAGATAAAGAATTCCAAAGTTTTGGACCAGTGTAACTCAGAGAACGAATGCCGTATTGAGTGGTATGAACAGATTTAACAAACAGATTATCAATCTGTGATTGGCGTGTATTATTTGAATGAATTGAAGATACTGGGTTAAAATAATTAACAAAACAAGAAGGCGGCTTAGTTTATGGTACCACTGATAAACAAAAGAGAGAATTTCAAGATGAATTATATCAGAGAATTCTGGGAGTCTGAGAGACCTCAGCAATGGCTCAGAATGAGATCTAGGGTCGGAAAAAGTCATTATTCTGACGACTCGTTTTTACAAAGTAGTTACTGGTTTTAGGTAGGTTGGGTATGTCAGACCCCAAACTTGAATACCATAAGTAAGAAAAGAGGTAAATAAGGGAATAGTAAAGCATAATAAGTATATCAATTTTAACATAGTAGCTTAATTTGGAAAATATACCTACAGTTTTCGATAGTTTTAAGCAGAGTTCATTAACATGATTTTTCCAAGTCAAGTTTGAGTCAAAAGTGAGACCTAAGTATTTGACCGAGGAAACTTCTTGAATGTTCACACCATCAATTTTTAGATTTAATGACTTATATGGTTTAAGTCTCTTAGAGTAAAAAAGAACAAAATTAGTCTTCAAAATATTGAGAGCTAGTCTATTAGATTTCATCCACTCAACCACTGCATGGAGCTCTTGATTTAGGATTAGTTCAAGATCGTTAAGGTTTTTACTTGAAAAATATATATTAGTGTCATCAGTATATATATATATATTAATGTTACCAGTAAACCGCTGATCTTAATGTTTGTTGTGACAATGACCCGATTATAGCACGGAAAGAGGCGACGAAATGCGAAAATCTTCGTTTGAACTTGTTTAAGTTGGTGATGTGCTCTCAACAATATTTTAGCCTTAGCATCGCGGTAATTTGCATAACACGTCATTTTAACTGTTTGCGGCTGGTTTTCACTAGCGAATGAGTCGTAAGCGGAGTCATAAGCGCGACGGAATCGGATTCAGAAGAATCAGAACGTTTCCATTTCTTCCGACTCTGCTTACCACTCCGTCGCTTACGTCCCGCTTATGATCTAGTGAAAACCAGATTGTCGGAGTCGGAAGCAGAAGCGGAAGGATAAACCAATCACAATGCACGTTCCTACGCGTTGTGATTGGTTTAGTTCTTCCGCTTCTGCTTCCGGTGAATCCCTGAGCATCAGTCTGTTAGTTGATGGCTTCTATTATAAATACAGACAAATAAATTAGGCATCTTATAAATAGGAACACAAAATGGAAAAATCCGTATTAATATACGAGGTTAACCCTGAGGTTAACATTGACAGCTGGTTTAACATGGAAAACTGCACTGGTACGCGTCCGGATTATTATTGACCGTCATTAGTTGTTTCAGTTTCAAGATCGTGTTGAGGGTGCTAGTATTCATCGAAACGAGCGTAACATCCAGCCCTCATCGAGCGAAAATCACTGTCGAAAATGAACCAATTCGTTCTACCGAAAGTAGAGCCTCCCTCATGCAAAACCTCAACCTCCAGTTCGTAATTTACGGTTGAATTTTCACGGCACTTTGTAACAACTCAATGATAGTGTTCTTGGAATAAATTCTTCCTATCACAGGGCAAAGAGGAGTTATTTGTGAACTTGATTGTTGATTGTAGTTAAAAAGTTACAGTTGATACCGCCCATAGTCAGAGTGCTTTCGAAATTTTCTTGTCTAATGTTAATTTACTTTCTTCAGGCCTTTTCAATTTTATCTGAGGCCAAAGAAGAGGATGCCAGAAAAAGACAGGACTTGCTAAGCTATTACGCTAAAGCCGATGCCCTTTTGAGAAAAATGGATGAACCGATGCTAGCTTTACTTCAGAGGCACACAAAAAATGTAAAAGAGAATATGAAGTGGCATGAAAAACAGCTGAAGCAGACGCAGTACTTTCTTCTTGTTGCAGGTAAAATGATACAAAAGTCACAGTCACCATTTTTGGGTGTGTTATATTGACCGCGTTCATTGCATTGTATCACAGGCGGACCATCCGAACTGTTCGAGGGATCGTGATGTCACGCGCGACACGTGATCCCATACATTAACTGTATTTCGTAACGCCCGCACCCGGCTTGATTCAAGTGATCAGTAGAAATGCTTCATAAAACACAGAATTTTGCACCTTTAGATCCCAAATGTTGATATAACGTGAGAAAAATGAATCAAGATAACTTAACGTTTGTTCTTAGTGTCGTGTTCTGCGATTTTGTGGCGTTTTCAGTCGCTTGAAACTGACACCCCCGTCGGGGGTCAGGAGCACCTCGGCTCAGTTTTGAAAAGACATATCGCGGATTTCTCTGATTTCTTCTAAATTATACAAATTTTACACCACGTTCACACCACGTTCACTGTGTATTTAGAAACTACACTGCTCAAAGGCAGAAGTATGCATGTATGCTCAGGCAAGCAACCTTATCCGAGTGACAGTGCAATTTTTTTAATATGCAGCAGTAGGGTAGCTTTAACAGGAACTACGATATCCTATCCTCTGGGGCCCGGGGGCGGGGGGGTGGGGTTCCTGAAGATTAAAAGGGTCTTGCCGATTCTTTTTAACGCTCTAATAGCGGAGTGGAGTGGAGAGAGGGCAACAATTGGCATTTACAATAAGAACTGATAAACTTGTAGTCTTCCATTAACATAAAATCAGTAAAATTAATGTCATTTGTGGTCTTAGTTAAAAGATATTTAAAATTTCCAATCTCTCTTTGCCTTCCTTAAAAAGCCATCCAATAGATTGGCTACTGCGCTGGTCATTTTGGTCATTTGCAGGTGAAACATCCTCTGGTAAAAGTAGCTTGATCAATCTTATTCTTGGAGAGGACATTCTACCGTGCAGTACTGCCACCACAACGTCCACCATATGTGAACTGAAGTATGGAGAGACACCTACAATGGTGGTGCACTTTAAAGACAAGGATCCTGAAACAGGAGAGACGACTAAAAAAATTCCACTCCACAAACCTAATGATCAAAGTAGTTATCTTGAGCAGATCTCGACTTACGTCCACCAGAAAGGTTCGATGTTGAAAAAGGTTGAGCTTTTCTGGCCTCATGAACTTTTACAGGTGATTATTTTATATTCTGTCTGCAGCGGAATAAGGATCTAGAACGCGAGCGGCTACAAACACTGAGCTGCTAAAATTTCTACGATCAGCACCTGTTATAGAAGAGCGCATTAACCAACCTAAACAATTTCACTGTACGGCCATACCATATACCATGTACCATGCATGCCATGCTAAACTGCTCCACCAATAATAGCGAAGCTCTCTCGCGCGCGCAGCCGAGCACCACGGGTAAGAAAATTTAGTTATCTATGCACCCGAGAAATTTTGGTGCTCACGTGTGCGTCCGCTCCATAGGGAAACCAATATGAAATGTCACATTTCTAGCTTGAATGGGAGCCTGTAAACTATGTTTAACTTGATAATAGATATCTTATCATGGTAAATTGACAGCTGTCAAAACAGGGTGTCCGCTGACCAGCATCACATGAGGTAGCAACCCAGGTGCCAATCCATCGAGGTCACGTGTTTTCTGGGGTTTTTCCGCTGAGCAGTTATGAAGCTTTAAATTGATCGCAGGCTCAAGTTTATGTTTTTAGCGGGTCCTCAAAAGTCACATGGTCCTCCACTAAAGTTAAGTACAGATTTGTGGATTTCTTTGCAACGGTTCCAAGTTCATTCTCCACAGTAAATTATAAATGCATAAACGGAAGTCTATATATAATAAACGGAAATCTATATGCTGAACCAAACCAAAGGTGTTATGGAGGTTCCTGCAGATCACTACGAGGAATTTTATGAAAACTATATTCTCAAGATTTCGTAGAAAATCCTAAAATTACAGGGAAATGGTGAAAATTTTGATTTTTTAGGAACTTATGGGATTTGTTTTGCAATGGTATCCCCTGAATTAGTACCAGTTAAAATAAATTTAATTGTAAAGTTACAGTGAATAAAATAGCCTTAAGCACAGCCATAGGTTGTTTTTGAATGCGGAGAGAAATGTAAAACCGCCCTCTTGCGGGCTAACCCCGAGAAGGTTTCTTGCTCTCAGTAACTTTTGCCCTTCTGTGGTACATTTGTGTTTTACCTTGTTTTTAAGATAAAATTCAATTGTTTTGCAATGATCCATATGCTCTTATCTGAATTACAGAAAGGAATAGTGATCATTGACAGTCCTGGTGTTGGAGAGTCTGACGAAATGGACGAGATGGTGATTAAGTATCTGCCTGAAGCTTTTGCTTTTATATATGTCGCTAACAGTTCAATTGCAGGGGGAGTCAAAAAAGACAGAGTAAGTACCTGGATTATTGTGAGTCCGTTCCGGCAATTTACACGGATCGAAGCTAGGCCTGTCCCGCTTGCGCTCGTAAAGTGCTAGAACGTTGCTTCCTGGAATGCTAAAACGTTGCTAAGAAATTGCCAAAAATCTAAACACTTATGCTACCCAATTTTCTAAAGTTTCTACCTAAATTTCTTGATATTTTTAAACAAAAGTGAATTAGAAAGCTCTTTTTTTGTTTTTCGTAATAATTACTCACATCAGTCAAGAAATAAAGTCTAAAACTTACCTTTAAAGAGTTTTTCACTTAATATGGGCGAAATTTAAGGATACCATGCTAAGCGAATTTTAATACGTTGTATGAAAATAAATCTTTTTCTCTATTTTTGAACGAAATGTTTATTAAAGTTCATTCTTTATTAAAGCTTACCTTGTACAGACTGTCTTACAGGCCTCTTAGGATGCCGAGAGCCCGTAAGCGACACTACCACACTATTAATTATTCATACGGCAAAAATTTTAGAAGACGTTGTACGAGAAATATTCTTTGTTCTATTGTTCCATAAATGAGCTAAAATAAAATGTGCATTAAATTCCACTTAATTTCAAGCTTACCTTTTCTGTGTTGTCTTGTGTTTATTTCTGCTGACTGCATTTCAGGCCCGGTTAGGCACGTTTAACTATGCCTTTTCAGCCCTGCGAAATGTCAAGTTGGAAAGGTTATGCGTTCAAAAGGTTGATAAACATTCAAGAAATTCGCATAGAAACTGAAGTCTTCTATGAAATCGTTGAGTTTTTCATGCTTGATATGTGCTATAAACCTATATTTTGCTCAAATATTGCTCAGAAAGGCAAAAACTTACTCGAGGTTGCTTGAACCGCAACAATTGCTTCAAACGTCAAAAGTTGCCGAGCAAAATCGGGGCAGGCCTAATCGAAGCTAAGAGTATTAACTATTCGATATTAGCGGAAACGGGGCAATTATTCTAGAGAGCAAAAAAAAAAATAAGGGGCCATTACAAAGGGAATTTGCTTAAAAACGCACTTGGAGTATGAATCCTGAAAAACTGTTCTTATATTTAACCTAATGAATCAATTCAGAAGGTGGCTCTTTGGTTCCATAGGGTTAGGCTTAGGGTTAGCTCTAGAAGCAAATCGTGTTTGGATTCTAGAATCCAGCATTAGATTTTCCGGACGAAGCGAATCCTGAGAATCTTATATTGTATTCTCCAAAACAATAAAAACATCTTAAGTTTTGTTAAACTCAGTCAGTACCGTATTTTCTTTAGAAATAGCCAATTAATTCACTTAGAGCTGGTAATAGCTAAATCAGTGAACAGCAAACGGCTAAGTTGAAGCGTTGCTTTCAAGTTATAGTAAGCAAAAGAAAATGTATATGATACAGGTCTGGATTTATCGATGGTCCGATTGCTGCTGCATGTATACAGTTGAACAAAGCCAACAACAACAAAACAACAACAATATTGTGAGGAATCATGAAATATTATGACAAACCAAAAATTAAATTCAAGATTAAGCGCGTATAGGGATTAAGGGTATCAAGGTTACTTAAAGGTGAAAGTTAACTTACTTTAACCTTTGGTTCAAATGTCCCGGGGGAAATTCTCATATATGAGCGGGGATGGTCGTCGTCTCGTTTAGGGGTGCAAATTAATTGCAGATTTCAGTATCACTTAGGGTGTTCATCATGGAATGCCAATATTTTTACGAGGGCTGTACTCAGTTCCTATTTGGTTGTATGTTTGAAAAAGGTATTCTTAGGGGCCATGTCAAGCCTGAGCCACGCCTAGATCGACCTCCATCTTCGGTGTAACTCCAATTTTCCTTTGAACCTTTCCGCCCATTTCAACGATGCTAATACGGTACAAACTTTCGCGTCCCAAACTGACTCTTACCCTCTTGTTGTGGTCTTTTGCTACGTAATAATGAAACTTCAAGTTATCGTGTCAACGTTAATTTTTACTCGCAGCTTGTAAAACTGCTCCAAAGCGCGAGGGATGTGTCAATCGGGGTGCCAGGAGAAGGAAAGGAGGATGGTGGTTCATCGCTTGATATACAGGAACGTCTGTTATCCAAGTGTGCTTTGTTTGTGTGCAACAAATGGGACTCCGTCCCGGAGAAAGATGTGCGACCCGTTAAGAATGAAGTTATAGAGAAACTCCAAAGGGTCTGGCCTGGTGTTGATCCCGATTCACAGATCATTTACATGTCAACCAAGAAAGCTGGTGATGCTCAAAGAATTGGTGTTATCTCCAAAGAATTTTCCTCTTTAATGGAAGGATTGAGGTCATTGGTCTTGCAGAGTATAGAAGCAAAGCTGGAACTTCATTGGCAGTAAGCTTTATTATGCATGTTTTGTCCACCCTCACTGTGAAACATTTAATGTCACAAAATATTTCAGGGCAAGGAAGAATAGTGTACCATTTTTGTACAGAGGAGTTTCCGTTTAGTGCTCAAACACAAATGAAATATTGGTTTTCAAATCAGAGGAACGGACACCTAAAAACGCCTGCGGGGGAGGCTAGTTTGTAGCCTGCGAACAGCAGGCGCATTTCCGGTCGTGAGAAGCGACGACCGGAAATACGTCTGCTGTTCGCAGGCTAACACGTGTGTACCAGGTGTAAATTTTCGAATATTTTACAGGATTGATTACATCCGCGGATTCACAAATGCGATTTTTTTGTTGTTGTGAGAAGGGGAAGGGCCAGGGGGCTGGGGGATGGGAGAAGAGAGTAGAAGTTATAGTTTGGTAGAGGTTTGACGTTGACTATTTCTGAATTCCGAAAGGTATTTCATGTCACACTTGGCACGGCTAGTGCTTAAGCCTTCAACACTGGAAATAGCTGTTCTCTCACAATACCATCTGCATTCGCTTTGTTTCTTCGACTTCTCCGCGCTTCCCTTTCGGTGTCGAAGAAATGTGCATTGCCCTTTGTATAGTGTGCAAACTACAGACCTCTTATACGGTTATTATGGTGAAGAGAGTTGAATTAGAGATAACAGTCAGCTGAGTCAGTATCAGTTCACTTCCTGCAGGCTAAGGTACCAGCTGAAACAACTGGAAAGTAACACCTTCAAAAACTAGTCCGCGTCAAACCACACCATCCCCTGACGACAACTTTTATGACTGATATGTTTAAACAGAGCAAAAGCTATTATAAAAAGAATAGTGCGTTAGCAAGAGTAGTTATCTTCTTTTTTTCTTGACTTTTTGAGTCTATATCTATCCTGTTGAACCGAAGGATTTTTACAGCAGGGTCGTAACATGGTATATCCGGGAACCACCGATTCCTATTTTCTTGCCGTTATTTTGTTCCCTGAGCCCCTTTTCCCCAAAATTTTGATCCCTGAGCCCTGATAAAAAATTGATCCCATCCATGTTTTACACAAAATTTTAACTTAGACAACTTTGTGTATCTCCAAATATAGAATATAGAACATGTTCAAATGGGCTGATGAGAAAAACATCAACTTTGATTTTTAGTGCAAGTTGTATAGGTTCTATCAGAGCTTTAAAGGTCAATATGAGTCAACCCCTTTTTGTGCATTACTCTATTTAAAACACTTTAAAAATGTTTGGCGATACTATGCAAAGGATAAAACCTGATTTTCTTGAACGGGAGCTTTAGTAAGATAAGTAAGTTAGCTTTCCAATTCTTGTGCCGTACGAACGTCGGCCATGTTACTGGTCTACAATATTGATGTTAATAAAGTGTAATCGTTTGTCTCACGATTCAGTCACTTGATGATGTAGATCGCGACGTTTCAACTGCGTACTTAAAGACCTTGCCTTGCTAGTCTTCGTCGACTGGTCACACGTGAACTTATATGACTCCAAGCTCTGGTTCTGGTTGGTCGATTATTAGCCGCTGAGATTGGTGCATTTCTCACTCCGTTGTTTGTATGAGCTTTTGCCTCACTGGTGCGCTGCCGTACGAATCTATTGCTTTGTTTCTTGATTAAGGGCAACCAAACTTCTGGACTTTCTATTCTGCTACCCCTGTTGATGTTGAGAGTGTAGTCTTATGTGAATTTCCTCTTTCACTCTGTGTGTGTTACATTGAGGATCACGATCAATTACCAATAGCAAAATACCTGCTTTACATGAAGTAGAAAAATTAAATGATGCAAGCCACAGGTTCTACAGTTTTTAAAACAGCTTTTCTGTGTCAAGCCCATTAATGCCGGCTTTTCCTGGTTTACTAACCATTGTAGATTGACAGAGGACACTTCTGGTTTTAGGTCTTTCAGACCTACTCCTTCCAGCTTCGAATCTAATTGGCTCTGAAAAGGTGCGCACCTGAGCTTACTCCCTTTCCTCTTCGTCACCACCTGACGCATGTGAATCATCTGATTCAACTGACCCCTGGAGCAATGCAACTAGGCGTTGCTCTTGAAGGCAGCTCAAACAGAAGTTGTTTCCATCTTTTATGATTTGAACTTTCCCGATGATACACTCAGATGAATTTTTATCGTCACGGTGCCCAATCTGGTATACAACGGGATCTTCCTCTGACTGTTCCAGCTATCTCAAACCCATGTGATCTTCCAGGAATGCGTCACCGTTATGGTAAAGATCTTTTAAAAGAACTGCAAGGAAGAAAGGAATGATATACCTCTTGTAATTGTGCTTGACAGCAACTACGTCGCCTTTTGAATAGATAATCTCATATTCTTCGGCTGCGTCTTGAACTGTAGTTTGTCGGTCCTTCACTCCCTTGAACCTCTTTCAGCAGATCGACTTCTCCATGTGCCGACGCATTCCTTCTGAACATACTCAGAGCAAGTGGAAGTGTACCAGCTCTTTGTTTGGTCTTCCTTCTTGTTCTTTGCTGTCGTACACCCCGTCCGAATTCTTTCGCAAAGCTCTGCAATGCCTTCCTGTATCGCTCTTTTCCCTCCCCGCTCGTTTCCTCGTCCATACCCTCCTTAAGGTTTACTCTTGCCGTGCGACTTTCGAAGCCATTCCGGTGCCTTTGGACCAAGCTTTGTCTGTGTGTAATGGGTTTGAGGACCGGTATAAAAGATAAATGAGGATTGGTAGAGCCTCTCTATTGATTCTAAAAGACAGCTGGGCCGCCGCGACGCGTAGTCGTTCAGAGCGGGTGTTCTCTCTCCACTAAAAAATTCAGGCTCCAAATCTAAGGTGGTGATACCTTAGATAAGCCGAAGAAAATAAACCATAAAGGCTTTGTTACTTTTATTTCACCGAGGTGAGTCTTTGGTGTTCCACTTGTTTTCACTGATTCTACACTGTAATTTCAGACTATTTATCATACAAGCATTTATCGTTTATACAGTAATGGAATGCGATGTGTCCTTTACTTTCCCGGCCCAATACTAGTACTGGTAGGTGAACCGATCTCGGTTTCTCATCAGAGTTCGAGATAACCCTAAAACTCCATGCAATTAGAGCACATTTATTAAATTGCGAGAAAGCATTTATTTTGCAACAAAGCGCGCGAATTCATTGCACTTTTGTATTCTACTTTTGACGTCCATTCTAATTATTTAAGTACTTTTAAGAGTTAAGTTACTGGTCAAAAAATACGAACCTCGATTTATAGTCGCCTTGTGACTTGTTTGAGGCGATGAGGCAATCGGGACCTATACAGTAAATTCCGCTTTCAATGAATCGGTTTGTCTATTGTCCTGGCGGTATTGTTATGTTTGATCGGCCGAAAAACCCTATGCTTGGACCTTTGCCAGGAGTAAATCAGTCAAGAAAGTACTTACGTACCTTTCTCTGTCACAGGATTTCTTTGTGTCCTTTTTCTTCTTCCCCATTTCTCGTCAACAAAGATATGTAGAAATCGCTTTCTCTGCCTTCTGGCGTTGACAGCGCGTTGAGAAGTTGCGTTACAAAGCGAGAAAAGTGACTTGAGATTCATATTACGGTGCCCTCAACAATTAATAAATTAAGAATATGATACTATGTTTTCGTCAAACAACCAGGACTTCGTTTGACAGGAACTTCCGCCAGCCGGAAGCAAGAATAGGTAATGTACCTCGGCCCAAAATTCTGCTGGACACAAACCTTATTACGCGCAAAAATATTGTGATAAGAGATTTTTAGACTGCGTAATAAATCTGATCCCTGATTCGGGCTCAAAAACCTTGTGATCCCTGATCCCAGTCATATTTTGGGCTTTGAGCCCTGAGCCCATATACCATGTTACGACCCTGTTACAGACATTGACATATGTTTTAGCAAGTGACATAAATTCAATTTGTTGAAATTTTGAGAAGGAACGTAAAAGTTAAAGGTTTTGCGAAAATAATTTCCGGCCTTAATTTTTCTGAATCAAGACTGCAATATTTTTTGTTATAGATGGCTTTACAAACTTCTTTCGAGGATTTTTATTCAAGCAAAAGTGTTTGAAGTAAACGCTTCAAAGAGCCCCGAGAAAATCAAGGAAAGACTGGTTAAAATTTTTAACCGCCTAGAGAAGATTGAAAATGATCTAGGGAAAGGCGGAAAAGACCTCCGCGAATCGTTCAGAGAACAAGTCAACAGCGTTGTGCATCAACTCTGCCAACATTTTTTGTCACGCGACATAGAAGAACGGTTTACATGTTGGTCTGAAGAAGACGCTCCAGATGTTGATGCCTGGTCGTGGAAGGAAGTGGAAGAGTATGTAAACGCCGCTTTGTCCAGACGGTTTCTAGAAATTGTAGATCAGTGGGAGGAGAAAAACAAAGTGTTGTCAACTGCTCGTATTTCCCTCATGGAGCAGTTTCAAAATTACCTTAATAATGTCGAATTCAAATTACAGAATGTTCAAACCGAAGCCGCTGTTGATGATGCTAACAATCCAAACAAGTTAGCCTTTAGAATTCAATTTTCATTTTGGCAGCAAGCCCTGGGCTGGCTCGATTACCTAACGGGCCGCACACCGCGCTTGAAGATCGAACTCCTTTCAGAATGGTACTCATTGATATTAAGGCACGTGTCTTCGGACATTCTTGGTGGTAGTTTAGAAAGGAAGCTTAAACCGGTTGTGGAAGACAAATTAAAGGATGCTAAGCTTTTCCTTGATAGAATTGAAGCTCGCCTACAAGAGCGGATCGAGGCGGACAGGCAACTTTATAAGCAACTCTATCAACGACCGGCTCGCTATGGGCCTGTGTTCTATGAAGCAAAACAGCAAAGGGAACAACTGGCAAAATTTGGCTTGAGCGAAGTTTGTGCTGTAAAAATCGATAGCAAGGAATTGGAGTGGAAAGAAGAAGCATCTTCCTACCTTGGCCGTGGTGCATTTGGTGCCGTTTACCAAGGAACGATGAAACGAGATGGAGAGGTCACAATAGTAGCATTGAAGGTGTGGAATGAGGCGCCTCATGCCGCAAATGCAAAAGAAATCATGGAGGAGATAAAAAATTTGAGGTAATGATTGTACACTCACTAGTCCGAAACAGCTGTACTTCCACATATATACTTTTTTCTATACCGTTTGTGTTAGTACAGTACTTGCCTGTCGTGTTCCTTAGCGAAAAACAGTTGAAATCTATCGTCCGACGAGTGTTACATATTTTTGTGTATTTTTGCTACCAGTTGGAGTCCGTGCAAGTTAAGTAATTCGGCTCTTTTTTCGATTCTTATATAGCAGCAGTCGGTGATTCCTCGCGTCATATTCTTGAGTTCTGCATTTTTGACGAAACAGCTAGGTTGCCACGCCATCGTGGATAGTGTTTGCTGATATTCCGTCAGTTATGATTGACGTCAATGATAAAATACAGTGGAAAATCGATATAACTAAGGGCCAAAGAACTCTGGGAACATGTGCTAATAATAATAATTAATATTATTATTCATTCTAAATATTTCTCCGTATTTGATTCGCTAAAAGCACACGCATAATTCACCATAACCACCATAACCACCATAACCACCTACACTGTAAAATTCGACTAGTTAAAATGTAACAGCCAAACATCAAGGTTGTCCATTTTTTACTGTATTTCTAACCATAAAAACTTCATCCCAAAATGTCTCGATAATGCTCTTACAGATTTTGCTCAAACTTAAACTTCATGAATCTCGATAACACTCTCACAGATTTTGCTTAAACTTCACGAACATCAAGGCGGCAATTGGAGGAAAAAGCAACCCTGAACGATTTTGGATGAAGGGTTCCCAGTGCCGAGAAATACTGCTGCAAGTAAAATAAGTAATAGCATCATTTCGTTGCGGTGACAACTCCGAGGTCATTGCAATCCTGATCATAAAAAATTTTCATCTTTATCTAATACAACTGTAGTGGCAATTTTTCCAAATCTTTGTTTATGGCGATCGACCTAGTTTATGCCCAAACCTGGGAGGTAATGACCCTGAAAAACTGTATTGAGCCACCTTAATGTAAACAGCTTGAAATTTAGTTGGAAATGACTGATTTTGGCAAGCCTGCTCCAAGCATTAGGATCATAGGGAGTGGCAACAAGTGAAGAGCAGAGTGAGAAAAAAAAAGGAATAGGGGAAAGAATGTTCCTGGTCTCCTGCAACCATTTCCTTACTTTCTGGACTTTGCTGCTCCCCACCATCTGAATGCCTTGAACAGGCTATATTTTAGGAAATTTGATGTGAAGAAGTGATAATTTGCATGATCACAGTTGAGCTGATCCCGAAATGTTAGACAATTTGGTAACGTCCCTAAGGGAGTTCCCTTAAAATTGGTTTAATGCTAAAATCCTCCAATTCGTTCTATTTAACATTGCCACTTTTGCTTTAACAGTATAGATTAGTTTTAATTGTTTAATGCTGTGGATAATTTCCGTGAATTGTGTGCTCAGAACTGTTTAAGCACTCAATTTGACCATCATATCATTTAAATACAGTTACAGTTAAATATATCAATATTGGCAGTTGAAAAAAATAGAGTTAAGTCCCCATATCTGGAAATATAAGGTTTAGTCCTATATTTTGCATTCTAGGACGCCATTTTTTTAATTGAATGTATACATTTGACTGCATGTATGTTTAATAAAGATGCAACCGAATTTGTTCGTCAGTGTGGTCTATTTGATCGTGTTATTTTAACCCTCTTACAGGGGTTAAATCTACTGATTATTTAAGGTGAAATTAACAATTTCTTGTAACCTATTCTTTTTTAGTTATATTAACAAAAAGTAACTAAAAAAAATGGGTTCTCTCAGATGCATCCCCGGTAGCATTTTAAATAGTTGAACTAACTGATTTAAATGGTCTCTAACTGAATAAATTACGTTATTTCAACCAAAAATATTGGTCATTCTAACTTACAATAAACTGGTCAAAACTACCGTTTATCAATAGTTAAAACAACCTAAATATTGAACTGAGAACAACCAAACAAAAAGGTGAAAATAACCCTGTTGATAGTTATTTTAACTGCTTTTAAATTAGTTATTTTAAATCAAAAGAATCCAGTTATTTCAAACCAATCTAAATTGGTCAATCTGACCAAAACAAAAGGATTCTCTCAGATGCATTTTGCAACCATTTTTATTGGTTATTTTAACTAGTCAAATTTTACAGTGTACTGTAGACCACATTTGGAAAAACTTTGCGATGACGTCAAAAGTGCAGCAAAGTGCAGGTTAACGCGCCGTTAACCGAGAAGACCTGGGGACGAGGTTGGGTTGTTTTGGTTGTGAAGACAAAAATGGCGGAACAGTCTGCGAAACATTTTACTTGTTTCATGACGAACTATTGTCTAAAAGCATAACAAGAAGACAACTCGACAGATTAACATCTGCTATTTGGAGTACATTTGCAGACCTAAACAGCCCTTTATCTTCTCAACATCCACCGTAACTATCGAGGTGAATTTAACATCGACGAAGGTAAGCATGTTTTAGCTTGTTTTTAATCTAGGAATTATTTTGAATGAATAATAAATTAATTAATGAATTCGGCTTTCGTAGGATATGAAGAATTAGGCAGATCTCGGTGAGAATAATAACATATAATTTTTTTCCAAGCTTGCGAGCGGGCGGAATCCTCCAACTCTTGCAATCTGATTGGTTCCGAGAGCGGGCGGGATTTTACGATCTTGCCCGCTAACCCGGGCGAAATCGTTGGCAGCTTCATTCACAAGTTTGTTTGTTGTTTGTGAATGAGCAGGAACCGTCATTTTCCAACCATTTTTCTCTTAAAACTTGCCCTATTATTAGCATTAGCTAGGGAAAAGCGAATTTTATTATTCAGACAAAAAATCTGAAGGAAGAATCAAGTAAGTCAGCCAGGAAAATTAAACCGCTAAAGTAAAGCAAAACAGACGGCTCGTGATGTCGTTTAGCTTTTTAACCGAGCTGACAGTAAGTACAGTATGTGGTCCTTGGTCCGCGCAAGTCCGCGATGCCCTTTTCCGAAAATGATAAAATATTTCGTCGAGAAAAAAAAATACGTTGAATAATGAAAGATATCGTGATTTACTGATTAGCATTCTTTCATATGACGAAGTTTCAGCTTTCTTGCTGTGGGTGAAGGCGCGAAATTAAAGTTTGTTGACAGGTAGGTTAATTTGTCTTTCTTGAAGTTTGGATTTTTGCGGCACCGTAAATTACATGGTCATGTTTACTTAGCCTGCGAATAAATAAAACGCAACGGGAAGACGTGCCTTTTTGCAGAACAGGTTTTCAGATCAACTTACTTCTGCTGTTGGAAGCATATTGCTGTAGACTCTGAATTTTTTGTTTTATCGACTCTTGAAAAATATCACCAAATTTCGCTTAGCGGTCCTTCGTCCCCAAAATAAAAAGCGACGGCCTTTGTTTTCGAAGATTGTTTTGAAAATCTTCCCTATACATGTCTAAAAGTTCTCTTTTATATACCTCGAACACATACAGAGTTTTTGGTAATTATTTTCGACCGCGCTGAAAACCGTTCGTCGACGCTCGTGTGGGAGACTCGAGGTGACTGTTGTATGAAAAAAAAGCAGATTATTTTATACTCACAACATCTTCCGAAAAAAACTTTAGCTTAATTGCATCAAGAAAAGAAAAAAATACATGAAATATTTTGAAATCACGTTTTCGTGTGGAAACTATAACATTTTTTACGTTTTTTTCGTGCTGCTTACCTGAGACGCGGATCAAGGACCACATTCGCGGATCAAGGACCATTGAAAACGGTCGCCATTTTTCGAATTCCATGCAAAATATCTATATCTGGTACTTGAAACTTCAGAATTATTGAGAGGAACATAAAAGCTATCTTCAGGGAGTATTTCAGTTGTCATTTCTTTGTTCATAACTTGTTACTCACATCGCCATCTTTTATTCGATTTTAATTCAAACCCTTAAAATTGGTATCTGTAATTAGCTCTTTTTACAAAGTCTTTGTGCAGTTTTCATCCCACTCGCAATTTTTGAATTATTCAGCCGAAGAAAATCCTTGCTGTTTTTTTTCCTGGCCCTAATAATGTCAAGCTCGTCAATTCTTTTATCCTTGTTTGACACTCAGGTTGGAGAGTGAAGGAAAATTTTCCCGAAACTTTTAAATTTCAGTTGGAAAAAAATAAAAATGTTATTCACCGGCCTAGGTCGGTCTGTATTGGGAAAAACTGTGCCCTCGGTCTGAGTACCGAGACCTCAAGACCTCGGGCACAGTTTCTCCCAATGCGGACCTCCCAGCTGGTGAATAACATATCTATATATATAATAATACTAGTTCATTAATTAATTATTGATGATTTATTTTCGTCTTCTCTGTTAATAAGATTGCTAAACCACCCTCACATTGTGAAGTTCTATGGCATATTACTTGACAAAGAAACTTCACAAACGGCTTTGGTCATGGAAAAGTGTAAAGGAAACTTAAAGAACCACATCTTCAGCGGTCCAGAGTCAGTTCCTGGCAAATCTGAAAACCCCGCTGTCTTCAGAGACGTATGCCGTTGTGCAAAAGAGATCACCGATGGTTTGGCTTTCATGCATGCGATGGGAGTCGTACACAGCGACCTCAAGTTGGAAAACATCCTGGTACTAATCGTATAAGAATACATGTATTTTTTCACGATTGTATTGTCGAAGTTTAATTTTGGCACTCGCAAACCGTAGTGAAACAAGAGGGCCCTAAGTGTGGTATACATGATATGCCTATTATCGGACTTCTCAGGGCACCCAGTGTGGTAGGAATCTTGAAACGAAATACATAGAAGATTGCTTGGCCTATGAACAAAGCGTACTTCAAGTTTAAGCGCACTCTTACTTATAATGAAACTTTCTTGATAAATTTTACAGAATATTTCGGTGCCATTAAGATATTGAAAGTATTTGAGTTAGACTCGACTTACCTGAGATCAGGCCGAATTTTAGTAATTCTGATATTGCCTCTGTGAGGCAGGATCAGAACTACTAGGTCCCACAAGTCAACAGTTACCGGCACCTTTCAAACGATTTATTGACGGACTCAAGCAAAACTGACTACAAGAGAATGACTGGACAGTCGGTAATTTGAAATAAACGACGGTTAGGTCTGTGACAGAAGACGGATCGAAACGCCTGCAATGACTTTACGAGTCTTCATAGCTAATAATATCACGGCTTAACTGACAGACGACCAATAACATCTCGAATTAATTTGCCAATCAGGTCAATACCCAGAGTTTGATACCATGAATTGACTTGATACAACTCACTTTGACTCTGAAGATGACCAACGCACACTGACAGGTTGTCGAAAAAAGGTCAGTCACTGTCAACAACAACAGACCTATTCAGGAGTACGCTCACCCGTATGATCATGCTCCACCTTCTAATTATGGACTGTCTCGCTCTCTTGCCCATGTCAATTTTAATCATTTTTAGCTTGTAAAATAAACCCTGATCTCAGGTAGGCTCGACCATATGAGTGCACCCAAAATCAAACTGCTCTGTAAGTACTTCACGTTGCGATTTTAGTGAGCGGCCTGCCGCCTTGAAAAGTGCTCTTGGTTCACCATTATTGTTACTGAGAACCTGTTTACACGAGTCCAGACAAAAAAGGACGAAAATTTGCACGGATCCGTCTTTCGTTTACGTGAGACCCGCGGAACTGTGCAATTCAGTTTTTAACAGCAAACCGTACTGCAATCTGTATATAGCATATTTTTTTCAGGCTTTCTTTTCGCAGCTGCTTATGTTGCGTCTATAACTGCGATGATCTTCTTTCATATAATCCTTCGCCCCGCAGTTCTCATATATGATTTTTATATATTCATGACTTCATCATCATCCTTTCAGGGGGTTTATAACGAACCAGCAAAATTGGTAGAGCGCTGCACCGGTATCGCAGAGGTCAAAGGTTCGAATCCCGTTTAAGCCGAATTTTTTTCAGGCTTTCTTTTCGCAACTGCAAAAGTTGCGTCTATAGCTGCGATGATCTTCTTTCATTTAAGAATTTGCAGGGTTCAGTATTAACGGGTTGCACAGGTGAAAATCCGTCCTTTAAAAATTTGTCGGGACGCGCGTAAATGGGGTCTGAGAGAAATGAAGAAAAAAGTACAGTCACTGCACTCTTCTAAAAGTCTATATTCCTTGTCCCATTAAAGCTGACTGACGAAAACACAGTGAAGATTGCTGACGTGGGCCTGGCTAAAGCAGAAATAGACATCACCGGTACCTATACGGGAACCCCTGTTTATATGGCACCTGAAGTGTTCCGTTCCCAAGTATACGGCACCAAGGCAGACATCTACAGCCTGGGGCTGTTAATGTGGGAGATGTGGTACGGACAGCGGGTCTTTGCTGACGCTCCAGTAACAACGCTGCTAGAATTCTTTGAGTGGGTGGATAAAGGCAACCGTCCAGTTCACAGGCAGAGCTGCAAGAAGCCTCCATTCTTCTGGGACGAGCTGATGACAGAGTGTTGGGACAGTAGTCCAGAGAAACGCCCCACAGCCAGAGAATGTAACCAAAGAATAGTCGGGGACTGATACTAATGCCTGAGCCGTTATAGGATAAAGTGATAAACTAGCATTTGTCAGAGCTTTGTGGCAAAATTCAAGAAGCTTCAAAAGAAGGACTCAAAAATTCGTAAGAGGCAAGGTTTCTCTATTGTCAATCTCAAAAGAGGCAGGCACTCAAAAACCCATAGAAATTCGATAAAAATAATGCATGTAACCGACGCTAAGAACAAGGTTACTCATATATTCAGAACTCGGAAATAGATAGTTGTAGTTAGCAATTTATCCACTATTACTAGCTACTCTTGTACAATGTAGCTTCATGGTAAGCAACAAGAGCTTTATTCTCTCTTGTAGTCAAATCTCGAATTGTTTTAACAATTACACTTTTTGTTAACAGTACTTTCAGGAAAGCAATAGATAACAACAGAATGAAGCTCCCGATGATAATTTTTTTCATTTACTTTTTGAGACATGGCTCCAAGAAATCAATGAGTTGTCGAAGTAATCAGTGGAAACTATAAATATAGGTTGATGTTAGTCTAGTTGGGTGTTTTGAAATCTTTCATAATCGTTTCACTAGAAAAAAAACAGACACTAACAAGGCAAACAAATTAAAACAAGCATACTTTGATGGTGAGGGAAAATTTACGTTTAGGCTGATAGCCTTCAACTTTCCAAAAGTTAACTACCAAGAAAAACGTTATAGCTATAGAACATGCAGAGTTTGTTAACATGGCGTTTTTGTAACGCTGTGAGAGTTGACTTGACTTTTGCGTCAGCATCAGGATTATTGATGCCGGGCCAGCACAGTCCCGCGGTAAATTGCGATAGTTTTGTTTATGTTTTTGTTTTTCAAGTTGTTTTTCATGTTTCTTTTCCTTTTAGAAAACTGCAAGAATTAAAAGCAAAATTTGGCTTGATCGCATAAAAATTTTACTTTTTGGTAGCTTCGATCTCCAAAGAATTAAAAAGTTCTGGTGACATATGGACCTAAAACGAACTGGGTAGCCTGTATATTTGCAGTTTTTTTTTTCGTCTTTTTCTTGACAAATGTTCATTAACCCTTTGAGTCCCAATAGTGTCCAAGATCAATTTTCGCCTAACAATTATCCATACACTGTAAAGAGATAAGTCATGAGAATTAATAAAATGATCACCAAAAACAAAATGTCTTGATCTATTATCAATTCTCTCAACTAACTCTTTAAGGAAATATATAGAGATCAGTTTGGAGAATTTGTATGTGGATATTGGGGCTTAAAAGGTTAATGAAAAATAAGTTGTATAGTTGAGCCTCTCTTCAGTAGCCACCTTAAGGACAGCAGAAAGTGGCCGTTGTAAAGAGGTTTAAATAAGAGTCAATGTATGGACTGTCTGCCAAAACAAGTGGCTGTTGTAGAGAGGTGGCCATTGTAGAGAGGTTTAAATAAGAGTCAATGTATGGACTGTCTGCCAAAACAAGTGGCCGTTGTAGAGAGGTGGCCATTGTAGAGAGGTTTAAATAAGAGTCAATGTATGGACTGTCTGCCAAAACAAGTGGCTGTTGTAGAGAGGTGGCCGTTGTAGGGTGGTTTAAACAAGAGTCAATGTATGGACTGGGTGACAAAACAAGTGGCTGTTGTAGAGAGGTGGCCGTTGTAGGGTGGTTTAAACAAGAGTCAATGTATGGACTGGGTGCCAAAACAAGTGGCCGTTGTAGAGAGGTGACCGTTGTAGGGTGGTTTAAACAAGAGTCACTGTATGGACTGGGTGCCAAAACAAGTGGCCGTTGTAGAGAGGTGGCCGTTGTAGGGTGGTTTAAACAAGAGTCAATGTATGGACTGTCCGCCCAAAAAAGTGACCATTGTAGAGAGGTGGCCGTTGTAGAGAGGTTTAAATAACAGTCAATGTATGGACTGTCTGCGTAAAAAAACGGCCGTTGTAGAGAGGTGGCTGTTGTAGAGAGAATTTATAAACAAGAGTCAATGTATCGATTTTTTGTCCACTGGGACGAAAAAAGTGGCTTTGTAGAGAGGTGGCCGTTAGTAACCTGCGCAAAAAAATCGCCTGATCGCACGTTAGGCCGTTAGCGGAGGTTCGACTGTGTAAAGAAAATTACAAAAATAGAGTAGCAAAAATTGATTAGTTTTTTTAAAAAAAAGACTAACAGGAGGGCGATGAGGGCTTCCTGTGACAAGTTATTTGTTTGCTATTTTTAGAGCAATAAAAAGGCCTGCTGTTTTCAATCAATCCAGCTCTACATTGATTTCCGTGATTTTGCAATAACTGAGTAATGAGGCATTAAATTTTAGCTAATTTTGAATGGAAACTTTTGTTCCAGATTACTTTAATTATTTCTTAACTGTTGGTTTATGAACTTGAAACTGATGGGTACGACACTGAAGCAGCGCTAGAACAAGTCACTGAAGATAATAATACCCACCCCATGAAATCTAATGTTGACGACACCCAACCCAGAGAATCTGTTTTTGAGGACACCCATACCGGGGAATCTGTTGTTGGCGACACCCATCTCTGGGATTCCGATGTTGACTACCTCTACTCCTGGGACTGATCTGATGTTGACGATACCCACCCTGGGGATATGTTAACGTCACCCACCCGAGGGAATCTGATGTTGACACCCACTCCGGGGAAACTGATGTTAACGTCACCCACTCGAGGGAGGGAATCTGATGTTGAAGATGGCCAATCCCAAAATCCAGCGTTCGAGAAACTTTCCCATAAACAGTGTCCAAACCGGTGAACTGTGCTGAATTGAGTGAATGAACCTTTTGCCAATATTCTGCAAAGAACCTCTGATATATCGGCAAAAAACCCGAACGGAAATCAAAAGGAGAACATGCCGTGAGGCAAAGGTTTTATTTTGAAGCGTAAAGTAGGTCAGGCGAACGCAGGTGGCGTTCAGGGAACTTTGTTTACTGACCACTAACCGACGTCGAACCAAAATTGAGCCCGGATCAAACAAAAAAAAAAGACTAAATAAAACAAATAAATAATTAATTAACGTTCAACCCAAAATGTCCGTACATTTTAAAAAAATAACTTGAAAACGAACTTTTTTTGCATATTTATTTATAAACCAATCTGTAGCAAAGGAAATTGACGCTTCAATTCGTATATCTTATTTTCTATTTTACTATTAATGATAACACTAATCACAGTGAAAGTGATGCGTTCTTAACCACCTCGGGAAAACAAGACAGCCATTTCTCTCACGAAAAGGAATCACATAGTGGCATGTTAGACCAACTTTGATACATTATATATCATACTTGACTTGGAGGAATAACAAAAAAAAAAGTCTTATTCGTAATGGTAACAGGACTGAGTGGAGTCCAATTCGGTCTGTAATCATAACTATAACAAAATTCTCAAATCTGATTGGTTCTCAACTGCCCTGATTTCAGCCTTAATAGGACAGTTTAATAGGACAGTACGCGTCATTGGTAGTAATTGGACAGTACGCGCCATCACGCGCGCGCTTAAATGGCTTTTTTTTTTCATTGCTAGCGAAAAAATCTTGGAATTTCTTGTGTTTTGATTTAAAGAGAGCCCTATATATCACAAATTTTGTTAAAGTTATGATTAATTGGTAACAGAACTTCGTGTCGTCCAATTCGGTCTGTAATCATACTCGTGATTAAACAAATCGGACTCCCGCTACGCGGTCGTCCGATTTTGTTAATCACTCGTATGATTACAGACCGAATTGGACTCCACTCAGTCCTGTTACCATTACTAATCATACGAGTGATTAACAAAATCGGACGACCGCGTAGCGGGAGTCCGATTTGTTTAATCACGAGTATGATTACAGACCGAATTCGACCACACGAAGTTCTGTTACCAATTAATCATAACTTTAACAAAATTTGTGATATAATAGGCTATTTTTTAAATCAAAACACAAGAAATTCGAAATTTTGTTTTGCTAGCAGTGAAAAAAAGCCATTTAAGCGCGCGCGTGATGGCGCGTACTGTCCAATTACTTAGGCATGACGCGTACTGTTCTATTAAACTGTCCAATTAAGGCTGAAATCAGGGCAGTTGATAGCCAATCAGATTTGACAATTTTGTTATAGTGATGATCAATCCCTTAACCTCCACTGAGGGAAGTGATTTTTTCTGTTTTATTTTCCCAAGCCATGGAGCCAAGTACGAATGTTCATTTGTCGAAATTGGTCTAATTAACACTCAACTAACACAATAACGTTACGCTTAATTTGACTAATAGGTTTTAAAAAAAAACATCACTTAGCTATAACAGAAAGCTACAACTATAATTGGAGGCAAAGCAGCTAATACGAAATATGTTTTCTTCTTGACATTTGAACAGGAAAGTACGTTTTTAAATCGCGGGTTTCTTTTTAGGCTGAAAAGGAACATGCAAATATTGGCAATGGAATGTGCTTAATAATAAAGCATGCTTAACTGATAAATTTGTAAATTTATTAAAGTTTGTCTGTACATAGATTTGCGACTCACATCAGGTTGAAATAAGATGCATGTTCAGCAAATAAGTTTGGGACTTCTGTTTCTCGAATTCCACCACGTGTTTTTGTGTTTTATGACCTAATCACATTTCCAATGGCGGGATCCAGGGAGGACATTCCAATCATAAACTCTACAAGTCTATGAAAATTTCACCACACAATTCCCATTTCAGCCTAGGATTAGACCCCTTTAACAGAAACGTTTTACACAACAAAACATCAATTTTCCTAGGTATTGATGTCTAAAGATGTACATCTCTTTAAATATATATAAGCAAGGAATTATATTTACCTATTTCTTATTTACCGCTTAGTTTTAATATGTACAACAGAAATTCAAGCTTTATAACTGCCCAATAAAGTTACTCCAAATCACAGGGGCGATCGTATTATATAATATAAATTGTTTATCGACTGACAAACAAGCATGTTAACACAGACTTAATTCATAAACAACAGCTTAACTGTGACCCACGTTAAGGTTTTCTCAGACATAATTTGTGATAGGAGACTTTAAAAAAAAATTTATAAGTAACATTGTCGCTGAAAACACGCCTTATCAGGTTGACGAAAGATGCTTTCAGCCAACATTTTTATTACAATTAATCAGTACTTCAAGTAAGAGTTTTTTTTTCTCGGCATAAAGCGTAGAAACAAAGAAAGGGCGTGACTCACTCCACAAAATATCCAATTTTGAAACTTCCAAAGCTCAATGCCTGAAATGGAACAGTTTGTTTCTGGTCTTATTTTTCTAAAATTTCCTGGAATTTTGCGCTGAACCCAATTACGTTAGGAGAAATTTTGGTTCAAAGTTTCGCTTTCAAAATTTAGCCGATTTCAGTTTTTCTAAAAACCTTTCACGTCTTGGTTTTGGTCTTTTCAAACTTGCCAGAATCATTGGTGGAACGGATCGCGGACAAGGAATAAAGGACTAACAGCATAAATGGTGCAAAATAACATAACTGGCTAATAAACACTCATTTACTAGATATACTGGAATACGAAAAAAGTGTGTTAAGCGTGAATAAATTGCAAAAAATGGAGCTGAT